AGCCCCTGGGAGGCGGAGGAGGAGGAGGACGGGCCTTTTTCGTGGAGGAAGAGCATCCTTGAGATGAAGCCGGGGACGGGAGTGGGATCCGGCGAATTCGACAGCAGATAAAAAGGACTCGGCTGCGCTACGGTGTCCGAGAGCTAATTTTAACGAAAGTTGGCAGGGGGTAAGAATCTCTAAAACTACAAAATACGCTAATTGACAGCGTTTTTAAACTCGCTGCCATTGGAATCCTTGATCTGGTTGCATCTACAGGGTGAGGCATATATATGGCAACACCCCCAGACCATACTAATTTGCCTGCTATCGGAAAACTAATTATTTTTTCGGGGGATTGGATGTTTCCCATAAAAGAACTAGCGTTTCTTTCTGCAGGAAACAAATGAAAACGGTTGCAAAATTTTTAATTTTTGATTTATAGCAGCGGGAAGTTTAGCGATTTTGTCGAAAAAGCAGTGTGTTGGCACGCTGCTCCTAGAACCCCGGATATTGGTTGCCCTGCTCCATGGTTTTGTATTTAAGTTTAGTCTGATCGTATTTATTTTTACCAAAATTCTTTTAGTCGGAAACTGGCGGGGGAATTTTGCTATATCCAAAAAACGCGCGCTGACCCACCCCTCACAACCCTAACATTGACCACTAAAAATTAATTATAAAACCCTGGCCAATCGTATTGCTTTATCTAAACAATTGTTTACATTGTAGGCATCGGATTGAACCAATTCCAGATGTTGAAACCAAGCAATTCAACGATTAAAGATAAAAAAGCCAATTTTACTTTTTTTTACTATGATTTTTGGGGCTAGCCGAGAAAAATTCCAAAATTTCTGCCTACTTAAAGGAAATGAATTGTTTTAATTCCCTTTATTTGTCATTACTAGGTGGTACACATATTTCTTGGGGCCATTCGCGGCCAAAACGACGTTTCTGAACCATGCTGAAATTGGCTTCCAAGGGGTTCCGTGCCAGCGCCACCCTTACGACGCACGGTTTTTGCATTAGAACAAAAATTTGTAGGGTTGCTGCGTTCTAATATTTTAAGAGTGGTTACAGGACACTGGTGGCTATATTTCGGCAAATTATTGAAGCCCAGCCAGCTTGCTTCATTTTTTGAGAGGCCCGGGAAAGTGTTGCCATATATATGCCTCACCCTGTAATGCCGGACAAGTTATATCTGCGGATAATTTGGTACCCCCCCCCGGCAATTCCAAAGCGCCAAAAATGTTTTTTTCCTTCCTAATTGTCCCCTACCATATTATCTAAAAGTTATGCAATAACCTCAGGATCCTTATATCTAAACTACGACACTTTCCCCTTTGACGGGACCCCCACCCAGCCCATAGCGGGGTGCTCAATTACCAGGGCGGTGGTTTGGGGGGAGCGGCGACTGGCGGGGGTTGCCACGATGGACACGGAGCCACTTGCCGCCTTCTGATTGATGGTGGTTGAGGAGAAGGAGGACCCAAGACACCACCACAGCACACGTCGACTAATAGGCTCCGGCGGCCATTGTTCCCCCATGGCCACACGGGCAGCTCGACGAGTGGCCCACCAGGGGCAGAGGACCCACCACCGCACGGAAAAGTGGCCCCAAAATTGCGCGCTAGGTGATGATGGATTTCACACATATGTTATAAAAATTAAGATTAAACTAGAAACAAAGACTTGAAAATCAGGGACCAACACTTCAAGTTAGTGTTTGTAGCGTCAAGCCTCAAAAAAATGTCAAAAATCACTTCAAAAAATTAGAAAATATAAAAAATGAAAAGTAAAATCGGTACAATTCAAATAGGCGGGGGGAGATTTAGGCGGGGGAAACCGAACTATTTTCCGCCCAAGCCTATATTTTTTATATAAATAGTGGAAGTGTTTCTAAATTGTTTATAGCTATTCCTAAACATAAAAACTTTACAAAACTTAATTAAAAAATTTAATTTTAGGTCGAAAAATCAATTTTTTCGGCCCAAAAATGACCAAATTTTCGACTTTTTCAAGCGTTTTTCTAACTTTTTAAAAAGTTTTTCCGATTCAGATAGGCTTAAATTTTGCTAAAAACAATGTGAAAACACTTGATATTTGATTACTATCCCCACCAAGGCCGACAAAAAAAAAAGTGGTTTCCCCCCCGCCTAAATCTTTCCCCCCGCCTATTTGAATTGTACCGTAAAATCGAATTAGAGGTAAAAAAATTTTCTGTACCGATCCGACGCTAAAGAGATACAACCAAAAATGCCCAATTTTTGGCAAAAAAATTCATCAAAAAATGCTTCGCGAATTTTTTTTTGTTTTCCGCTTAAAATATGGTTAAATTTTACTAGAAAACCCGATACAAACGCTTGCGATTATGCTACTAACCATTTCTGGACTTTTAGAAAACAAGTCCCCTCCCCCCGATAATGCGAAAGAGCTCTTTCTCTAAAAAAGGTATCGTCTCCCATCCCGTTTTCGAAGCACGACACGCGCAGCCGATAGATCAAAGCCCCCCCCCCCCCTCGAGGCCATCGACATACATAGGTTGCGCGGACAGTAGTGTCGTCCCCCTGGGGTGCCTGGTTGGGGGATAGCCGATTGATGGGTGTGCATCGATTGCTAAGTGGTGTACGCAACCCGGGGGGGAGATGAGCGACCGTTTTTTGGGCAGTGGTCACCCCAGGATCCGAGGGGTAAAACAGGCCGAAAGGTCAACGCCGGAACGACATCTAGCGGATGGGGAGGAAGAAGAGGAATAAGAAGACAAGATTGTTTCGGGGTCAACGATCATCCCTTTCGACCGATAATGCAAAAGAGCCGAGCGCGTAATGGAAAGGCCGGGTACGCGCTTTGCGTTTAGCGGCCAATTTTCACCGGTAATTTAGGCTTGAATTAATTTAAACTTTAAAATCATTATTAAATTTTCTGAGGGATTATTCTAAACCGTGTGATACCTCTCAAATATCTAATCCCACCCTGACATCTCTAATCGTTCATTGTCACCAATCTGCCCAGGGGTCCGGGCGGCGCCACTCATTATCCACAGCGAGCAACGCGAGATTGAGAATCTACGGCGAGAGAGAGCGCGCGTGAGAGTGAGAGAGAGAGTGAGTGAGAGAGCGAGGTCATTGTGTGTGTGGTTGTGGTAGGGTCGTCGGCGCGGGCCCGGGGGCACATCAGAGGCGCGAGGGCGAAGTGGGTGAGGGGATGGACGGGGCAAATATTTGGCCAGGGCCACCAACACGGGTCGCCACTCCGGCGCACACACACACACATACACCACCCATCCATCCCCCTTCTACCCCGCGACTCATCGGAACGAATTCGTGGGGGGATGAAGCGAGAAGAAGCCTCCCCTTCCTCAACTAACCCCCCGAGGCGCATTTCTCGCCACCAAACAATGCACCTTCACACTCACACCTATAGACCAGGGGGTGAAGCCCCGTGTTTGGATAGGTCTGGGGGTTTTGATTCTTGAAATGGGATCCGTGGACATGGTCTCTCACATTTAAGCGCACGTTCAAGGCATTCATAGTAGTCTACACATATTTACGCAGAAAGACAAGGCAGAGAGAGCATATATAAACAATTTACAAAGATGGTTTCTCACATTTTTACCAGAAATCCGTAGCAACGTAATAGTAAGGTATTGATGGCGTTTTTAGCAAATGCCAACTATACTTGAAGTGAAAAACTATCTGAAAAATTCAGGCATTTGGTCGAAAAATCGACCAAACGGTTTAGATTTTGCGAAAAAAGCGGATACAGAAGGGTTTAAAGGAGCGATCAACCCATATTTACTGTAGATTTTCACGCGCTAAGCTTTGGCGCAAAAATAATCCATGACTCAATATAGAAGCCGTGCAAAAACGAGCTAGACACAAACAGAGAAAAAGTTGACCCCGAAAAAACTTTGAAATAATTTCCGAAAAGGGAGACGTTTCGAAAATAGAAAAACCCGCATCCGCTTAATCATATTAGGACGTTTTATCGTATATTCACGAGGAAACAAATGTAAGCAAAAGAAATGGCAATTGGAGCAACAACATCACACGCTTAGCCGTTTGTCAAGATCGAGGGGGAAGGGATGAGGGGTCAAAATCGAGAAAAACGAATTATCATCAAACTAAGGGTCGAAAACGTCAAGTATGTGGGAAACTTTGTGGAGAAAAAGCAGCAAAAGAAAACGTTTCCAGGTCTAGGAGAAGCCGCAAAAAGCTCAAGCAACTTCCAAGGTAAAACTGCTCTATAAATTACACGCCAAGACTTTTAAACCCGCGGAAAAAACCCCCAAAAAAGGCTTTCAAAAATATAGAAAGTTTGCGACGATCCCCTGAACTGCTCGAATAACCAGAAACAAAAGCTTGAAAAATCATTTCCAAGCTAGGGAAAGCCCTAAAGTCATGGGGGCAACTTAAAAACCAATTCCGCTAGAATTACGCGACAATACCCTGAACCCCTTCAGCACTCACCCCGTGCCTGTTGCTGTACATCGTGGTGGTGGTGGGCGGAATGGTGGCGAATGATGTAGCCGGAGGGCCTTTTAGATGGCGGGGCAATAATGGGTCGTGGGCCGGCTAGTAGTAGCAGCAGTAGTAGTAAGCGATGATGGCCCAGATGCGCCTGCTCATGCAAATCAGGGCCGGACAATTGGCATGCGCGCGTTCAGGGGTCAAACACACGGCTCGGTTCGCGCCAAGACCCCGGGCAGGTGGTGCGGCTACAAAGGAGAGTGAGAGAGAGAGAGAGAGAGAGAGCGCGTGAGAGAGAGAACCAAGAATCGCCGCTCCTCCCCAAAGCCACGCCTCCTCTTTTCGCGTCCCAACAATAACACTTGCCCTCTCACTCGCCCCACACACACACCATCCACACGGCTCGCTGCTGCTAACTGCTACCACCGAAAAACGCGACGCACCGCGACGCCAGTTACGCGAGAGACGGGGCGATTTTGAGAGGCGACTGACGAAAATGGGGCGGAGATCGAGAGAAAGGGAGGCAGAGGGAACATCGGAGGGCAAGAGAACCTAGACGGCAGATCGCCAGGAAAGTTCTTTGTTCCAGCGCTCGCGGAACGCCTCAATCTCGTGGATGGAGACGGCTGGGGAGAGACGCTTCTGGCATGATGATGATGGAGCCGAGGAGGAGGTGGCACACGGGATGGGGTCGCCTGGAAGAATTGAATAGATAATGACTCTACTAGAATTTGGATTTTTGAACATAAAAAATATTTCGCTTTTCTTCCTTTTTCAGGAGTGCGTCTGCCGAGACGGCGTTGTTCCAGAAAACCGCATCGCGGCCCTCCTACATTAGTAACACAGAAAATTTTTTCTAGCAAATCCGTACGACCCGACAACGAAATACAAACCATAAGCATTTTGCGCAGTTTATACATAAACTCTGCAAAATTTTGAAAATTTTTTGACTTCTGCTCAAAAATGTATGAAAAATCACCAAAAATGTCAAAATCCGATTTGCGAAATGTGTATAAATACATTTTTGATTTATGTTTACTATTTAGTTAATATTTTTTATACGTTTCTATTATTTTGTTTAATATTCATAGTAGTAAATTTCAGCCTTGTGCTCTACTTTTTCCGTTCACTCTGCAGGGGGTCTTCGTTATTCGTGGCTTCACCGGGTGGATGTGATAGTGATAAGAAAGCGGGGGGCTGAGACCTGCTAATCCCTAGGCTTTCCAGCCAGCCGTGCCGTGGCCCGGTTGGTAGACGAGCTAAAGCATTTTTCACTTCTTCAATAGGCTCTCGGGGAAGAAATAGACAGTTTTTCCATTAGACTCCCAACAACCGCTAACCCGGCCAGAAATCTCCATCTACCCAATCCCCCGGCCCCCTTGAATGGCTGACTAGCTGCGAGGAGAGATCTGCCGGGGGGACGAGCCTCGGAGAAGGAGGACCACCTGGATGTGCAAAGCCTGTTAGTGCGCGCGTGAAATCCCATTGCGGCGGGGGGAGCACAGCCCGTGCTTAGTATGTGTTAGGAGGCGAAAGAGAGATCGAGAGGGAGAGAGAGAGAGACAGCCAAAGGCAGAGAAAAAGAGTGAGGAGGGGTCGGTGGACGGGTGCGACGGGGGCACTCACATTACAAATTCGGGGGAGAGCCTCTGAAGGGGAATGGGCCGAGCTGAGGGGGAAGGGGACACAATCTGTTCGAGTCCATTCGGATGGATTTATGCGCCTTCGGGGTACCGAGGGGCCGACCGACCGACCGACCCCCGACGGCCATCTCAGCCCCTAAATTCGCGTGCCGCGCGGCCGGGCCCCGGGCGGCCACCGACAATACCGCAGACAAATCCTGAGTTTTCGGGAGGGAGAAATGACGGTAGAGATTAGCCTATACAGGGTGTCCCAATAAAAAAACACCCACCTCTAACTCGACGCAGAAGTATCGGATCGGAATGATAGTTACACCAATTTAAAAGACCTTCCGCGGCTCACCCGACCTGTCCCCAATATGGCTTGGTACAGTTTTTTTCGGCCCTGTTTTTTTGACGTCATCTGAAAGAGCAGGGTCGAATTAGTAGGGTGGAACTATTTTGAGATGTTAAAAAGTTTATTTTCCTAGTTAAATTTGGCTCTAAAGTGGCAAACCTCAAAAAATTATCTCGGAAACTACCGGACCGAATCGGCTCAAATTTTGTGACTAAGCCTAATTTGGGATGGGGATCATTTTTCTAATACATTGCGACGCACGAAAATGGCCGGAACATAGGTATATTGCGTACTAAAAACAGTTTTTTGCAGTTTTCGGCTTGATGGGTGTTCGGCCGCATCATGAGACTAGCATAGAAAGATGCGGCATTTTTTTCTGCATCGATTGATGTATCTTTTATCAGGCGGCCAGACACCCATTTGCTGGAATATTCCATTTAGTACGCTCAAAACGCACCAAAAATGTACCCAAAAAATGCATAACAAAAAATTTTTGGATTTTGAAGCATGAAAACGCATCTGTAAGACGAGCTAAAGCTATTGCAAAAAAGAGCAAAAAGAAATTCAGCTTTTTGGAGGGGGCTGGGATTGAACTGGCGGCAGCTCTGGATTGGCACGCCGACGCTCTACTCACTGCGCCACAGGGCTCCCAGGCACACGACCCGGGTTCGATTCCTGCCGGATTTCAGACCCCTTTTAAAAATGTTATTTCTATTTGCTCTTTTTCGCAATAGCTTCAGCTCGTCTTCTAGATGTGTTTCCATGCCTCAAAATTCGAAAACTTTTTGTTATGCATTTTTCGGGTACATTTTTGGTGCGTTTTGAGCGTACTAAATGGAATATTCCAGTAAATGGGTGTCTGGCCGCCCGATAAAAAATACATCAATCGATGCAGAAAAGAATGGCGCATCTTTCTATGCTAGTCTCATGATGCGGCCGAACACCCATCAAGCGAAAACTGCAAAAAACTGTTTTTAGTACGCAATATACCTATGTTCCGGCCATTTTCGTGCGTCGCAATGTATTAGAAAAATGATCCCCATCCCAAATTAGGCTTAGTCACAAAATTTGAGCCGATTCGGTCCGGTAGTTTCCGAGATAATTTTTTGAGGTTTGCAGCTTTAGAGCCAAATTTAACTAGGAAAATAAACTTTTTAACATCTCAAAATAGTTCCACCCTACTAATTCGACCATGCTCTTTCAGATGACGTCAAAAAAACAGGGCCGAAAAAAACTGTACCAAGCCTTGTTCGGGTGACCCGCGGACGGCCTTTTAAACCCCTTGAAACGGAGAGTTTGCAACAATCTTCAAAAGTATGTTTCTATTTAAGCCCTACATTTTACAAGCTATTTTGTAAAATTTCGCTGGTTTTCGAGGTTGCATACGAGCTAGCTTGCCTGAATTCCTCCATACAAAATGACCGGAAGTAGCCGTTAATTAGATGCAGAGAACGTTTAGTAATGCTTTTAAAAGCGTTGTAAAATGATGGGTTTAATTAAAAACATGGTTTTGAAAATTGTTGCAAACTCGCGGTTTCAAGTGCTTTCGAATGGTGTAACTATCATTCCGATCCGATAGGACTGCATCGAGTTATTGGGGTGGGAGGGGGGTACCTTTTTCGAGTTATCCCGATCGCTGCCAGACACTACTTAAGCCCGCTAAAATCGTCTTAAAACCATAATACATCAAAATAATTTTTCCAGGAATTTTTTTTGCTTACCACACGTATATTCAGTTGATAACAAAAACTAGCCTCCTTATTGGTACAGTGTCCCAACAAAAATTTCCCGATCCATCAGAATCTCCCGGATAGGCTCAGCCCATCTGTCCTCCGATTTTCGAAATTCCGGAATTTTGTTGCTTTAATTTCGGCATTTTTTTTACAAAGGTTACGCTCTTTCCTCCCAATTTAGTCTAACTCAATTTTCAGGTCGAGCGCGATATAAGCGGTGTTTTCTCAAAGTCTTTCAAAAAGTGGTCGTCGTGCTGTCAGAAAAGACGCAGAAATTCAGAAATTTCAATCACTCTCAAAACAAAACCCCCGGGATCCGAAAATCGGCTTGTTTCGCAAAAAAAAACATAGTAACCCAAACAAAAACTTCGGGATTTCGAAAATCAGAGAGCCCACCCGGACTCGCCACCAAAGGTTACCTAAATCGTGAAAATCGGACAAGTGAGACAACCTGCCATCTAGCCGGGGTTTTTCCCCCGCTTTTTTTTTCAGGGTATCATATCCGCAAAAATACGCTAACAATTACCTTCCGATTTGATCTGCGGATATGCATCGATGTTGGTCGTCAGAATCGTGATGAGATTCCCACTATCGTCGCAGTTCTTCGGCACAAGAGACTAAACTAATTAGATTAATGAATTCTACTTCCTAGTACACTCAGTAAAATAACTATAAAGGCAGTGGTTTTTGTCGAATATCTCGGCGGTTTTTGCACTTATCGAAATACAATTTTCAGAATAGGCTTCTGACGAGTCCGAGTCCGATCCGAGACCCTCTTGGTTAGGAATCAATTAGCATACACCGGAAGTGGCGGTAGCTTATTTAAAGGAGCAGAGAGCTCATGTTTCACTTTTTTCACCGTGAGTCGGGTGGAATTATGCAAAGTGTAAACTTTCATTGGTCCAGAACGGGGCCAGGGTTGAAAAGTCGCGAAGCGGCTTTTCAACCCTGGTCGTTATATAATTCGTGAGGTGCCATAACTAATAAATGGAATTATTTTTTTCTAACATAATAATTAAAGGGATAAGGACGGCACAAGTCACTCGATTACGCGTGGGAAAGAAAATATCTCTGCGCCTCTCCCCCAGGCCTGGACGAAACGCGGGCCGGCCCGGGCCCGGCCGGGCTCGGGCCGTAAAACTTTGGGATTCCGGGCCGGGCCGGGCGGTAAACTTAAAAAAAGCCGGCCCGACCTTTTTGGCGATGTTCCAAAACCCGGTTTTTAAGGGGAAATTGAGTGCAATTTTGGAAATTTTTCGTGCCTAAATAGCCTAGTATGCTTGTTATACCACTTTAGCACGATTTTTGGCTTATCTGGCTTCATTCAGTACCAAGGGATCGACCCAGGTTCGCCCCCGCCCGGCGTCAGCTTTTTTTTTTTTTTTTACGGCAGGGGAATCGTTCTCATGATTGATCTTTTTAATAGCAATAGCGTAAGTGTTTGTAAACTGTTTTTACTATGCCGAAACATAAAAACATGAAAATTGATGCTACAAAAGTTAGAAAACCCCCGTTTTTAGGCCAAAAACCGGTCGTAATGCTAAAATTCAAAATTATTTTGGCGAAAAGTGCTGCAAAAATTGTGCACCAACACCTGTTCACATCAACGTGTATTGCCATTATGCTTTGACGCTAAAAACACCACGTTAACAGGAAGTTTTTTGGCTGACCCTGTTTTTGACCTAAAAAGTCGGGCCGGCCCGGGCCGGGCCGAGCCGGGCCGGGAAAATCGGGGTTCCGGGCCGGCCCGCGTCCAGGCCTGCTCTCCCCTGAGCGCTGCGCTATTGGCTACTTGCCAAAAAATTTAAGCCCCCCTCCTAAGGGAGGTTCAACCGATGCCGTCCTTATCCCTTTAAGGCCTACCATCGCAGTTTGCACGACTTCTTCCCGCAGATACTCCTCGTCTACCGTAACCCCGCGTGGAGCATCGGTCCCGATCACGCGAAGCGAACTGTTGCGCTGCCCATTCAAAATTAGCCTTTAAAAAGGCAATTTTTTAATTTTTAAAACCACGGCTTATTTTCAAAATGTCGAAATTTCATAATGTAATCATAAATTAGACATTATGAATTTCGACATTATGATTTTCGACATTATGATACCAATTCATTAGAAAAGCATACCTTAAAGCATTTCTATAATTGTAGCCCTTGTGCTTGTTTCGATCAATGTACGACAAAATGGAGTAGGGGATGACAATATTCGGCATTTCTTGCGACATGATCTGGCGCAGCGTCTAAATCAGGATACTAGTGAAAAGAGGAGCGTAGCTTACAGCGCATTTCCCCTCGAATACCGAGAGGTCGGGGACGCCGTAGACGGGCAACCAGGAACGATCCTGAAATTTGTGGTGTAAACCGGTTGTCGAAATATGTATTAACCTCAATGTCGCCTAAATTGGCCTTTAGCTTTGCCATCCGCTTTCCGAGATCTTCCAACGATAGTTGCCTCGGCCCGCCAGCGTTGATTCTGAAATTGTCAGATCGCCGCTAAAGTTCCATACGTGAACATTGTGCTAAAACTGATCGGAATCTCCGGAGCATCAACACAGTCGTACAGGAAATGAGCGGCAGTTTTCAGGGCAACCTTGTCATCCCTAAAACTGGTTGTTAGTGTGGGTTACTTTCAAAACCTCTAAAATCATTGTGACGAAATTTACATCAACAAAAATTCCGGGGAAAACCACAAATCCTATCCGAAAAATTTCGACATTACGATAGCAAGTCCGTTAGTGAAGATCCTATTTCACTTGCCCGACAGGCCCTTCGAGTAACCAGCGCAGACGTGTTTGCAGGCTGGAATCGTCTAGATCTTCCTCCTCGCACGCCGTCTCCAACGGTTCGATGATCAGATTAGCGTTGTCGCAAAGCGCTGATCCAAGCTTTTCCAGCGACTAAAAAGAAAAGAGAAGCTCGAGAAAAAGCCTATCATACCTCCTTCAAAGCCCTGGGTACCACTCTCTTTTGCTCCTCGAGCAAGCTGACAACTTGGCGCGCCGCTAATAGGAAATCGGCGGAAGCAGCTTGGACCTGAAACCGGCACGATAACTTTGTAATAGAAGCCGCATCCAGACGAGATGTCCAAAGCACGCACCCAGACCGGTAAAGCGTCGTGTTTCTCGGGCACAACTTCAGCAGGTTCAACTGCCCCATCAGAATCGTACTGTTCTTCCTCTCCTTCGTCATCCTCGCTACTCATCCTTCGACGTCTTCTTCTGCTGCACAAAATCATTTCTTCATCCTCGGCCGTCATCCCGCCATTATCTTCCGGTTTCACCTAAATCAATAAAATTTGAAATTTGATTTGAAATCTGGAGTCTTACTTTGTTCAAGAAGAATTGCCAGCAATCCGATAGCATTAAGATCAACTCGCGGATCGTCTGGTCATCTAGAAGAGACTTTAAAATACCATAGCCATACCTATTGTTTCCATGGCCGTATACCGTACGCCCAGCGTCAGATTGTGCAGCAACAAAAGAGCCTCGAAATTCAATTCCGAGACTCGCAGCTCCGTCAAAAATTCCTTGCATTCTCTGGGCAGCGAGTGATGGCTGGATGGGAATTTTTGAAAAAGATATAAACATTTACCTGCTATTCGAAACAATCGACGATAAAATGGAAGCACTCAGTTTTGACAGGCCACTCTTCTGCTCTTTTCGTAGCGCAACGTGCAAATTTTCCAGAGCAAAATTCGTTCGTTGTTTTGCCAGAAGGGCGTTGAAAAATAACCTAAGAGACACAATACCATCGGGGTATGGCAAACCGAATATTTCCAGGCGGATCGGCCAACAGTCCCAATTGATTCAATGGCTGGCCCCAGTCCGGATTCCCATCAAAGGCCTTCTTATAGTGAAGTACTGTTATCCAGCCAGCGCTTGATAAATACCTTAAAAGACTAAAACAACGTTAAAAATCTCACCTATGCAAATCGCCACAATAAAGAAAGCATTTACCAGCCAAGTGCGGGAATTCAGTAGCAATTTCGCTAAGTTCTCCACAAAATATAGGGCAAAGCCTATGAAAATCATGTTTCTTTTCCAAATCGACTAACAGCTTTGCAGTTTCCGTGGAAGAACGGGCGTACGGATAGTAGGCCGAGCGCCAGACCAGTTCAAGAGCTTCTTCCTGCTTCTTGCTATCGTGGATGCTTCTTAAAGCCGATGGAATCCTAAGAGAATAATTTCTAAAAAAGGTAAAAAGCCCCACTTGGTGCGAGCCCGGACAGCCCTTTGCGCCACCGGGCCCTCCTGTTTGGAAAAACGATGCGCTTCTTTGCAGTAATGGCCGACAGTTTCCATCTGACAAAATGCTTGTTTTTAAGACTAACAATCAAAACATGTTGAAAGATATTATTAGAATATACAATAATCTATCTCCCAGTGCGTAATTCTTCGTAAATTATAGAATTTATCCACAAGCACAGTATTCAAAAGAACAAGACGATAAAAAATGCACAAAGTATCACACAGTGGTCCGCACTACCCGAACAGATTAAGCCTAATGATTATCGGTGACTTCACTATGAGCGTTTTTTTAAGAAATAAGGTGCATGGCGCCCTTGTAGAAGACAAAGACGAAAATCCCGACAGCCGTTGGAATGAGGAAATTCGTCCATGTCGGCGAGAGAATGATTTCTGCCAACGAGGCTCGGTCTTGAGAGGCCGTCTGTGCGCGTGGAGCTGTTTGCGGTGCGGAGAGCGTGGGGCCGCCGATGAGATCGCCAACCTAAAATAAAACAAAAGAGCTTGGCTGTATCTTCTAAACAAGACAGCTTAAAAAAAGAAACTTACAAAATAATCCTCAAGCATTTTACGCGCATCACTCGAATGTCCCACATCGTAGAACGGGATCGTGGCATCCTTACGCAAAAATTATGAAAATTTAGGAGAATTCACCTTGCCTATTTGCTCCATTAACACTTCCGGACCGCCAGGGTGCTCATCGAAGAACTTGGAGACGTCGTAGACTTTACCCTAGACAAATTATATACGTCAGATCGCTCGGATATCACCTTGATAATGATCCAGCCGGATTCTCGTGTATTGTGCCTGGATACTTCATCGACATCAATCATCCGAGTCATTGTCTGAATGGGTATATACTTGTCTTCACTGTTATTCAAAAGAAAAAAAAAAGAATAGTACGGTCATCTGACCAATCAATCGAAAACAACATTTTTGCTATTTTCCATAGATTTATTGAACCGAATGGCAACCCGAAAAGCCATGGCTAAAGCTGTATTTTGGGATAGAAAATCAGCAATGCTGAGTTAAATACAAGAAAGTAATGGTTATCACAGATTAGAAGCCAAAAATGTACATCATCTACACACTCAATATCCAGGCATTTTAATCTTCATGAAGGCGCGGATGCCAAAGAAAGAAAGAATTATTGCGCCGAATGATATTCCAGCCAACGTCAAGCGTGTGTTCTTCTGCAACTGCGGCTCGTGGATCCTGTCGAGCATTATGAATCCGATGCCTAAATTTGCTATAAATAGGATTAAATAAACCAGACCTCCCAAACTGAAAAAGATGGAAGCCGCCAGTCCCTCCATGATATACTGTCCATTTAGGCGATGCGGCATAATGGCTTGCGGTCGTTGAAACCCTCTTTCATCCGTGGATTGTCCTAAAAGCAGGCTTTAGAGAGCGCTGTAAAAATTACCGACACTTGGCGGCTCGTTGATAATATCGTAAATGACTCCGGCGGTCACCAGGAAATACGTGCCGAGCACAAAGGCGAACACCACCATGGGCGACGGCAGCTAAACGGACGGTATAATTAAAACTAGCTCTAGATGCCTCGGCCCACTTGGGCTTTTGGAGCCGGATGTTCGGCGGGTCGACGGCCGAAAAGAGGATTGTATTGATGGCGGTGTCCATCTAAAGATGATATGATGATCTTTCCGAAAAAGAACAGCGCATTGCGGAATAGAGAACGGACAGATACCTTTATGGGCGACAAGCTAGCAATGATTTTTGAGGAAGGGACAGTGTACCAGAAATTCTTAGGAAACTCGGCTAATGATTTACCCATGGGAACCCACGATTTACCCATGGTAAACCCACGATTTACCCGTGGGAACCCATGGGTTCCCATGGGTAAATTGTGGGTTTCGTTGGGTACCCATGGGTTTCCATGGGTAAGACGTGGGTTCCTATGGGTACCCATGGGTAAATCGCGGGTTTCTCTGGGTACCCATGGGTAGATCGTGGGTTCCCATGGGTAAATTACGGGACAGGAGGTGCTTGTAGTTTACACTTTACTTTTATTTTACTTTGCTTTTCACTAATAAGGTGGCACTTTCAAAAGGCAACGGTTTGGCAGTCCGACGCTTAGTTGTGACCCTCATGTAGATCGCGGCGGGAAGCATCGGCAATAACTAAAATAGCCACCTTTTTTGGCTTTGTCGTTTTCATAGCTTCAAGGCTGCTGCTTTTTTGATGAACCTACGGTTAATCGACTGGAAGCAGTCGATGGGCGTGTAGAGCAGTCCGTGATTTAGGCATAGAACCTAGAAAGGCCTTTACCTTTGCACGGCCTTTATGGTAGACGAATCCCTTAAACACGTCGCAGCTACCGATTGCCCCGATTCAGTTTCAGTACCTAAAGAACGAAAGATAAAGTTGTACTACTACTCACCATCTAACCAATTCTTTGTAACACGTAAGTATACTCTCAAATCTGGAACGTATTATAGGAAAAAACAGACGGTATACTTACAAGAACTCGCGTAGTTGATGGCGTAGTACCTATGGCGCTACTTCAGTTTGCTGGCCCCACTTATATTTCGCCAAAACCTCATGTTTCCGGGCTAGTTTTTTGCGCTGATTCCGAAAAACACTATCCCGAATCGTCAAAGTTGTGTTTTGAAGGGAAAAACAAATTTCATTGTCAGTTTTCATGGTTTGAGTTTCAAATGGTTAACTAGGGCGTTGAAGTGGGAGGCCTATGAAACGGGGAAAACCCTATTTCCAAGAAGGCTTATCCCTTGCGTTCGTTTTTTCCTAAAAATAAGGCTTCGTGCCACCCGGGGCCTAGTCGCTTCGGATGGGTGCGAGCTCGTACAGGGTTTCGAAATCGGGGCGCCCGAGGCGCGCGCAGCGGCCAGGCGCCCCGATTTCGAAAGAGTGGAGCGGCAGCCCATCCGAAGCGACGGCCCGCCTTGCCTGACAATGCTACAAGCTATTTTTTCTTGGTAAACCAGTTTTTGGTTATTTATTTAGTTAAAAACCCACAAAAATACGAATTTTTCGCAAGCGCCGTAAAATGGAATTTTCCCGATATTCAATAAAATATTAATTTAATATTTTTTCCTAAATAGCATTTTCGCGGGCTAGGATAGTGTTTTTCGTAATCAGCGCAAAAAACTAGCCCGGAAACATGAGGTTTTGGCGAAATATAAGTGGGGCCAGCAAACTGAAGTAGTGCCGTACCTATTCCTTCTTGAAAAAGGCATAAATGAGGCAATACCGTACGTCTAAAAATAAAAATTAAATTGATCAGAAAAATTACGCTGCAAGGCGATGGTTTAAAGTCAACCACCAGTCAAAAACCTAAAGCACATTTAGCAAACTTACCTAATCCAAGTATTTATCAGTTCTTATGGATATAAAACTTTATTCGGTGAAAAGGTTAGAAAAACAAAATAAAATGAAAACTTGGGGGAAATTTTCTGAAAAGTGGGATGTGATCGTGACAGTACTATGTACAATTTTACCCATGGGAACCCATGGGTTCCCATGGGTAAAACACGGGTTCCCATGGGTTCTCTCCCCCCGAGATTTACCCATGGGTACCCATGGGTAAATTGTGGGTTCCCATGGGTAAACACGGGTTGCGGGTTCCCATGGGTAAAACATGGGTATCTGTGGGTTTTCGCGGGTACCCACGGGTAAACGTGGGTTTTTTCTGGGTTCCCATGGGTAAATCATTACCCGAGAAAGGTAAGCAAGCAGAGATTATTTGGGAAAGCCGAGATTTTGAGTTCCGTGCTGCTCCGTGTGACAACAAATTACGGAAAGCGTTGATGAAAGGAAAGATGCACAGGGCTTCGTTTTGCGCTTCCTTCTGGCAAATGCATTTTATTTTGGCACAAGTAACAGTAACATTTTTTTTTCAATTTTTCGTATTTTGATTGAGGTCTGAATTTCTGAATTCTGCCACGTTTTTCTCTTTTCGCCGCCTTTCTCTTGTAGATGCCTCACTAAACCCCGGCCCGACGACCGTAGATGCAGGGCAGCGGTTTGAATGAGCGCCGACGCCTATACACCGTGTGCCCACCCGGGGGCGGAGTCTCGTTGAAAGAGCCTCCTGCCTGGCCCATCGATCGTCTCCCCATTTCGTTCGGGATACGCCCGGCTCAATGCGGCCACCCTCGTTAATTTTCGTGCTTCTTGGCTTTGCGATTGAATAATTGAGAATTGGTAACCGTACTATGATTAATATGCTCATGGGATGCTGGGGGTGATTTTTGGCGTGCGGGACGGCCCAAAACCGCGCCGTTTACGATTCGTCGCACACTTTGATGGAGAAAAAGGCTTCCAGAATGGTTTCTTGACCCTCCAATCGTGGATTCCCGAATTAGAATCCGCAACATTTGTATTTGCTACCTCATTTCCCCTAGGTGATATCCCATCTCCTCCAGCATTTTTCTACTCTTTTTTACTCGCGCATGGGTTGCAATGGTAAACTTGACTGCCGCTCTGCTGGTGACATGTGCGCCTCATTTCTTCATTCTTGTTCTTGTTTTCGCTCTCAATATCTCTTTAAAGGTTGCAATTTCAGATCCGGAGAGATGGCTTGCGGACTCGCTCTGAAGCGCCCGCATGAATATGACAACTACCTGCAGCTCGGTGAGACGGCGCCCGAAGCCAAGCGCGCCCGCACCTCGCCGCTTTCCTGCTCGCCGTTCCGTCCGCAGATGGGAACGCTGGCGGCCTCTCTTCCGTCTAGCAGCTCTGCGCAGACTTCCTTGGTATGATTTTACATAGTAAATAATTGTTTTGTAACCTTACGGGTCTTGACAATTTCTATTTCATTTCAGGAGGACAGGGGCATCTTCGGCAGCGCCGCGGCTCGATGCAACGTCAACAGGGCTCAGGTTGATGCCTTCATCAAGGCCGAGATTCGTTCGCTTCGCAGGTGTGGTTTTGGGAGGGGTGGATTTCGCGATCGTCCTGCGGGTGTACATGGGTGCACATTTACATACAAGTTTTTTAGGCGCAAGCTAATCCCGAAGCGCTGCCTCGTCGATGGAAATGAATATGCTGAATACGAAAAGTCGGTGCACGATGCTGATCACAACTCGACGTCTGCGACGCGCCCTGCCAACAAGTATCGTGTTCCTGGCTCACCACAGGTATGTTTCGGATTTAGTTTTGAGCGCCACTAATTCCTTGTCGAGCTAACGACCCGGTTCGATCTGGTTCTCAGAGTAGACAATTTCTGGAGCCAATTTTGCATGTTGACGGCGTATTCGCGGCCCTGTATGTGTTCATGCTTATTAAATTAGTGCCTCTTACCTATTTACTATTAGGTTGAGATAGGCGTTTAATTAATTGTAAAATTATGTCTTATAACCCCTTTTTTCAGTCGGCTTCGGATTCGGAGGGTGAGAGCGGCCCGAGTTCTGCCCGTCGTCGCGTGTTGGCCACGCTGCCTAATGAAGTCAAGTCGCCTGCCTTTGATCTGAACACCAAGCCGATGTATTCGCTCAACCAGGTAATTTCTGAATCTTAGCCTTTTACCTGACCAACCTGTAGAAATTTGTGATACTGAATGTTTTGCCGAAAAATTTTTATTGACGTCTGGATTTATTTAGGCTAAACTCCAGATAACCCCCCCCCCCCCCCAGCCGACCCCCACCTACCGTATCTCGGCTCCCTGTTCATCTACAGGTGTGTAAAGTATACCAAAATACTCGCCACAGCAAGACGAACATTTTGGTATACTTTACACACCTGTAGATGAACAGGGAGCCGAGATACAAAAGTTGGGTGCCGGCTGGGAGGGTTATCTGGAGTCTTACCTTTATTTATTCATTTTCAGGTGATTCTGATGTGTGAGCGTCTTCTGAAAGAGCAGGAGCTGCGTGTTCGCTTCGAGTACCAGCAGATTCTGGAGAAGAAACTTCAAGGTATTACCCTCTTCCAGGTCGCCTTAATCCGTCTATTTTTTCAGAGCAACAGGATCAGCTGTCGCAATTCGCCGCGGAAGTCAACCGCCCGTCGGAAGACTACTCCTGCTCCTACCTATCCTAAATGCCCCTCCTTTTCCCGATCGTGCCCACCCTCTGGTGCTTTTAACGTCCAGCCTCCAATTCGCCTGCCTTATGCGCCCACCACCCCATCAAATCGTTTCACTTTTCGGTCTACAGTTCTTCTTCCTCTATTCATCCAGTTGAAATTTAAATGTCAAAAAATTAGTTCGTCTGTGATTTTTATCTTCTCGTTCTAGTGACCACCACCGACCCCTCCATTGGATGTACCTTTTTGAGCCCAATTCAAGGTCCCCGTGTCTTCGAATTGTCCTCATAAACGGTTGCATCTTTTCCTCGACTTCTTCCGCGTCGGCTCTGTGCCCCCACATAAATAAGCGGGTCCCCTGCTGACGGACTTTTCCCTCCTTCATTTTTTGGATTGCGGTCGTCAGGTCGACAGACCTGTGCGCCGTAAAACTTCTTCCATGTGCCTTTTCCCACTGGCTGGAAGTGTTGTCAAACACATCTTTTCCCAGGACGCGCTTGTTTGAAGTATTTGTGATAAAAGTGCTAGTTTAATGGACATTTTAAACCGTTTGGTTAGACCGAAATAAATGGCGTTTGAAACTCGAATTGATGACGGTAGATTACGCAAGTAGAATCGAACATGACCCTACATATTTTCAGCTTCTCTAGAAGGCTACTTTCTAAATTTGATGAAATTGAGAAATAGATTTTCGACGAAAATGCCAACTACAAAATTTGTTTCTGCCTTTTTATTGTTTTTCAGCCTTAAATGTAGTTAGTTTTGGCTGAACCAACGATGAAACATTTAATAACTTTGCTATGCATTTCTGCGCGTAAAGAAAAAAAGGCTCTCCCAGCCCTCCCCCGATAATGGGAAAGTACCAGTCTTTTAGGAATCAGAGCGATGGAGGTGGTTGGCTTAGTGTCTGGTGGCAAGGATTCGTGCTACAATCTGATGTGTGCAGTCAAAGCCGGCCATCGGGTAACATGTTAAGGCCTATCCATTAGAAATATATGCTATTCAGATAGTGGCCCTGGCGACGTTACATCCACCGGAAGGGGTCGACGAGTTGGATTCTTTTATGTACCAAAGCATCGCCACCAGATGTGTTGCGGTATCTCTGAGTGCAAAATATGTTTGAAAGAGTCCTAGTTGTATAGCGATGCGATGGGGATACCACTCTACACGAAGGAGATCAAGGGTCGCCCAATTAACGTCGAATATGGCTATACAAAAACGGATGGGGATGAGGTGAGGTAGATGACAGCGCGACGTAACCGTAACCGTAACCTGGAAAAAATTTCTATTCATTCTTTCCGTCAATTTAATGATCCAAATTTTGCCTTGGTTCGAAATCGCGTATAGAGAGACTTATATGATAGGATTGATCGAAAAGGTGTAATAAATATATCGATGAAAACGACGTATTGTTTTGATGTATACCTTTAGGTGGAAGAGCTGTACGAACTACTGAAAGAAGTCAAACAACACCACTCTTCAATCAAGGGCATCTCGGTCGGCGCCATACTCTCCGAATATCAAAAAAGGAGAGTGGAAAATGTGGCCGAAAGACTTCAATTAACACCCCTAGCCTTTTTATGGGGACGCGATCAGGTATTACCTTTTATATTATAGAGGTTCATTCTTTAGCATGAGCTTCTCAGTGAGATGGTTGAGAATCAAGTCGAGGCCATCCTGGTGAAAGTGGCCGCCGCGGGACTGCATCCACGCCACCTTGGCCAAACAATAAGACAGGTTTTAATGGAAGCAGGTTGCAATCTTGGTTTCAGATGCTGCCCGAGCTGAAAAAACTCCATGATCGTTTCGGGGTGCACGTCTGCGGCGAGGGTGGTGAATACGAGACGTTTGTCGTGGATTGTCCGCTCTTCAAGAAACGGATAGACATTGGGACCAAAGAGGTAAATTGCGCGGTGCACTCATTGTCAGCATTTTCCTGTAGAGTACCTTAAGGATGGTTTTTTTCGGGTAGAAAAAGTTCTTACTAAAACTAGTACTAAACTACTTACTAAACTACTAGTTAGTGTATTTTTCGGCCCGCTATCGAATCGCATTTTCAAAATATCGAAAATATTGAAAATGCCGATTTCACTTTTTACTAGCTACATTTGCAGATTGTCATCTCTGAAGACGACCCACTTGCCCCGGTCGCATTCCTACGACTGCAGCACCTGAGCTTGGCGGATAAATGAGCCTGCTATTACGTTGCTGTTGCCACTTTTTGTTAACGTAACGTATTATACTGTTGTTTGAACCCGTACAAAGCCAAGACGGCTAATAAAGATTTATGGCCACCAATAAAGTACAAGCGACAAGATGTGAAAAAACAAACAGAGTACGTGTGAAGGGAGAGATGCAATTCGAGCGTACCCGGGGGTTTACAAATCAACGAAAAACAGGCTATTTCAAAAAGAGTGTCTCCTCGTTGCGCTTCTTCGCCACAAAGCTTCCGGGCTTATGCATAGCGTCCGGGTGGTTCGCCAGTTCTGGTGGGCACGTTGATACGGGCGATTCGACGAGACACTAAAAAAGGAGACGCAACTCGAGGATTGATCTTTGAAAATGTTTGTAAATTTGCAATATCGGCGGGATATTTCAAGTGGAAAACAATTTAAAAACAGAAAATAATTCTGGTTCGAATTTTAGTAAAAAGATCGGCCATTTTTGGTTGAAAAGAACATAAAAAATGTGCCCCCGCTAATGCCAAACAACCCAAAAAATTTTCGTATTGCGCACCTGTTTGAGATCATAATAGACGTCCTTGTCCTCGGGTGTCAGGAACGTGACGGCTTTACCCTTCTTGCCGGCACGACCGGTACGCCCGATTCTGTGCGTGTAGTCTTCGATAGTCTTTGCCATGTCATAGTTCAGTACCAGCGACACGTCCTTGATGTCGATACCTAAAAATCGCATTTATTTTATGAAATTAAAGGGATAAGGACGGCATAAGTCAATCCATTACGTGGGGAAAAGAAGATGCCTCCTTGTAAGTGCGCTCTCTCCAAAAAGTTTCAGCCCCCCCTCGCCAAGGGGGATTTAACAGATGCCGTTATTATCCCTTGAAGCCGAATTCTCTAAACCTATAACCGACTAAAGCTACTCCCACCTCTACCAGCAACATCTGTAGCGACCAAAATATTCTTCGATCCTTCCTTGAGGGCCTGCAGCGCATACTCGCGAGCGTCCTGTCCCTTTCCTCCGTGTAGCACCACCGGCTCGAAGCCGAGCTTTGTGAGCCCCTTGGCGAGCAGGTCGGCGCCCTTCTTCTGGTTGACGAAGATGATGATTGGCGGTTGAATGTCGGAGAGAATCTAGGCGAAAAGGCCGTAAATAACATCTAAAAATGCGATACCTCAACAAGTTTCTTCCTCTTCTGCTCTTCGGACATCATGTATACGACTTGTTCGGTGCGTTCAGTCGGGCGACCTGAACAATGAACAAAATCATATTGTTCACTCAAAAACGAATGTTAATTTGCTTTAAAACTTGCCGACAGAGCCAATATGTACAACGGCTGGTCGTCTCAGATAAGCGCGGGCGAGCCGTTCGATGGCAGAGCTCATCGTGGCGGTGAACATGACCGTCTGGAATGTATAATCGGTTTTGAATAATTCCAAAGGGGAACTAAAAAATGGTAAACTAAATGGTAAGGTAGTTTTCGAGATAGTTTTTGGAGGTAGTCAACTTTAACGGCCATTTAAACATCAAAAATGAACTTTTTAAACATTCAAAGCCATGCAGCCCTACTAATTCGACTATGCTCTTTCACATGGCATCGAGAAAACGGGGTCTAAAAAAACTGTGACAAGCCTAGTTTGGCTCTCTGGCAAACGGCCTTTTAAAAAACAGTCAAAACATAGTTTTCTTGACCAAAATATCAATTTTAAAACATATTATCAGTTCCAAAATGCTCGTTAGCTCGAAAAATCCACATAACAACAACCTGGCGATACTTCTCTCTCGACTGGAAATTCTTCATCAAAGTCTCCTCATGCTCCGTGTCTTCAGTGTCCGGCTTCACATTGGAGACGGGCAGGTATTCCAAAACCTATCAAACAAAACATAAGTATCCACCAAAATCAACAACCTTTTGGACTTCCGGTTCGAAGCCCATGTCCAACATGCGGTCAGCCTCGTCGAGAATCACATACGAACACTGGTTCAGCATCAAATATCGGTTCTCCAGCACGTCAAGCAAACGTCCGGGAGTCGCGATGACCACCTGAATTTAGGATATCCAGTTAATCCAGCTTGTTTTACCTCCACGCCCATTCGCAGCTTCATGCCCTGATCTTCTCGACTGGCACCTCCGATAATGGCCAGAGTGTTGATGCCGAGCAGCTCGCCAAACTTTTTCGTTTCCTCCTCAATCTAAAGAGATGTTGGTACTGGCCTTTCAGCAGGGAAAACTAATTTTTGTCTTTCCGCCCAAACCACCTCGTTGTTGCTAATATAAAATGTATTTTTATAATGTTTTTAGTAGTTTCTGATTGTCAGAAACGGATAAAGATCTTTTCAACGTTTTGCTCTTTTTAGGTAAGTTCTCGTGCATTTTTGAGCAACTTCAAAATTTTTATAATGATTTTATGAGTTTTTATATCTAAAAATTGCATAAAATGCGATAAAAAATTGTTCATATTTTGCTACGGATACTAAGCCGTACGGGATTACTTGAAAAATATGGTTTCCCCTCCGCTAACAGTCGAGTACCAAAACATTTGCTTACGACTAAAAGAGTTCAAAAAAGAACTTCCGGTTTTCGAAAAAAGAGCTAAATCCTTATGGCATGGAATCGGAAAAGAACTGAATTCCCGTCACATCAAAAAGAGAAAAAAAGCCCTAATTCTGATAACAGACCTGTTGTGCCAATTCACGAGTTGGAGCCAAAATGATGGCGTACGGCCCTTCGTCCTTGTGATCCTGGCGCTCCATTTTCGGCAAGCATGTAATCCACGACTAAATACTTGTTAGGTATCAAAATGTTTTCAACTCACCAATAGCGGTATAAGGAAAGCACAGGTTTTGCCGGATCCCGTCTCGGCAACCCCGATCACATCGCGGTTCTGCAGGCCGATAGGGATGGCTTGCCGTTGAATGGGCGTCGGGTCTTTGTAACCAACCTAAATCGACAAATCGGACCTATATAAAAACCGCACCTTCAGAATAGCCTTGTAAATCTCGTCGGGAATTCCGGCTTCATCCCAGCGTCGCAGTGGCTTCGGCACTTTTCCACCCTTGATGGTGATGTTGAAATCTTCGCGGAAGATGCGCCAATCGCGATCGGTCATTTCGTCGAGCGGCTTGTCCTTCCAGTGGCGCTCATCGTAACGGGTCTGCTTTTCTCTCTTCTGTTCGTTTGCCAGCCTAAAAATCGAATACACAAAACACAGTGACATTTTACCTCTTTTCCTCTTGCTCCTTCTCCTCTTCCGTGCGCCGCTTCTCTACCACCTCCTTGTAGAATGAAGATCTCGATTTCTTTTGAGCGTTCACGTCCACACCAGCGATCGCACCGCGTCCGAAAAATTGAACCTAAAAGGAAACCATTTCAAATTCGACCAGACAAACCTCATGCTTGCTTTGATATAGCTTGTTATAGTCGTTGCTCGTGTCCTCGCCGACATCCCAGTCAAAAACAAACTTGCGCTCATGGAGGCGACGGCTGCGCTTTTTCTTGTCTTTGCCGTTTCCCAGGTACCTAATAAATAGGAATTAAAAAGCGAAAAATCACAGATACCGGTTTTTGACGGCCTCTTTCATTTTGTCGCTGTCCTTCTCGGGTTCTTTCTCCTTGGGCCGGTCGTCCCGGCGATCCCCGCGATGATCGCGACCGCGGTCACGCTCGCGCGAACGGCTTCTCACTCGACGATCACTACAAAAATAAGTGGGAAATGAATGAAGGTTCTAACCGGCTCCTAGAGCGAGATCTTCTGCGTTCACGGCTTCTGCTTCTGCTACGTCTTCTCCTTCTGTCAATATCGCGATCTGTGCGAGAAGGGCGTTATTAATAAAAAACCTAAAATCTACCATTTTTCTTGGCCTCTTCCATAAATCGCTTCCGATTGTCTTCAATCTCTTTCTGGGCCGCCTTTTGCTTCGCAACCTCTTCCTCGCGCCGCTTGATGGCGAGCGCGGCGCGTTCTTCTTTTGAGAGGAATTTTGGCTATAACGATTATGACTAATTAATAGCTGGAATTATTACCTTAGCTTCGGCCGCTTCTGCAGCCTTCTTTTTCGAGAGCAGCTCCTCGAGAGATGGTGGATCCTCTGCCAGTGCCATCGCCGGACCGTTGTCCGCCATCAATCTAAAGTGCTTTATAGTTATTCATATCTAGTCCCGTAGTTTGAGAAGAAGACAAAAACGGGGGAAAGAGGGAAAGTAAACAACCACCAGAAAAAATCACGCACGATAATCTCAACAATAAAAAAACAGCGATTCGGAGACCAGAAATTCTTTAGGATCACCGCAAGAATCATGAATTAACGTTTCTTATCACCGAGGTCGTCCAATAAATCTTCTTCAATTTGAGGCCACTTCAGCGGGATGAAGTCGAAAAGATTGTCCTTGACGTCTCCTTGAATGACGATCTCATCAGCGGCAGTTACCGAGCTTCCACAAGCAAACTTCGATGCGAACTGCTTGGATGCCTGCTTCAAGTCGATTCCGTTTGCCGCGAGGCCTCGAATGACAGTCACGCTCTTCTTTCCCCGCGGCTCTCGCTGCAGGGTTACTTTCGAGGGTCCGGCGGCCGCCTTCTTTTTCTCGGCACCTCCGCCCGGTTTATTGCCCTTTCCGCCGCGTTTCTGATGCTTCTTTTCATCCTCATCAGCAGGCGCCACCTCCAGTTTCTCCAGCATGCCTGGGACGTTCTTCTCAGCCCACTCGCGACAAGCATCCTTCATCCCAGCGAACTCGCAATATTCGCAAGGCAGCGAGCAGGCGCCGCAATATGCGACGGTCAAGGGATATTCAACCCCTTCGCACGGTCCGGGGCCATAGAGGCCAGCCGGCAGCGTCCTGGCCTCGGTCGGCGTTTCGACTTCAACGTCACCCATACTAAACAATAACTTGCAAGGAGATGTTTCCGAGTGTCCACGGAGTTTCGAAATGCGACCAAGCCCACCTTGTCCCTTTTTTGCTTACTTGTTAATGGAACGTACTTTTCAAAATTTGCGAAAAGGCCAGTTGGGAAAGTTACGAAGCCCTAAAGCGTTAAAATACTTTGGCCGTTTTTGCCCTCTAACTTTCTTATTGTGGTCGCCTCGCAGATTCTGAAATATAGGTTTTAATCAGCAAAAAATTCTGCACAGATCGACGGCTTTGATCAAATTTAGAAATTCGGTGGACACTAAAAAAACGTATCCTTCCTAACAATGAGAATTCTATACATTCTTCTACGTAACGTTTCAACATTTCCCAAATAAACTAGTGCTTGTGCCTGTTACACGTAGCCCTGCTGAAAATATCCGTTAAAAAAAGCTTTATCAGACAAACTCCGCAAAACACGAGAGGGCGCGGACAATTGAGATTAAGTTGGATGAAAGCTGAAACATGCGAAGGGACAACAATGCAGCACGGGAGAAATATAGCCAACAAGCAAAACAAAAAACAAGGTGGCAACTCGTCCGATCGGGATTAGAGGAGCGGGGCGGTGGTGGTAGGTGATGATTCTATTCCATGCCCGAGTTGGGGTTCTTCAGATTCGTCATGCCGGCGCGCATCACCTAGAAAAGTTTGTAAAACGTAAAAAACAACAACAACAAACCTCGTCAACCAACAACAAATTGCAGGCGAGCACCGTGCATGAAGAAAGCGAATTCTTCTTCACAATTACGTTATCATAGATGCCCTAAAAATATTTATTTTTAGCTATTAAATAGCAAATTATACCATCGGGATTGCTGGGAGACCGGTGTCAATGTCGAGGCCAATCGCCTGATCCGGATTCGCCTGTCGTTCCTCGACCTACAAGCGGACTAACAGAAAAAAATGAGGTGGTTTACCATCTTCACAATGCAATCTAGGGCATCATGCCCCGCGTTTACCGCCAACGTCTTTGGGATGACGAGAAGCGCCGTCGCGTAGGCCTTAAAATAAGCTTATTTCGCCAAGTGTTCTTTATACCTCAGCGCCGAGCTTTGCACGCCCCTTCAGGTTCTTTATCTCATCCTTGAGCATACAGTAAGCGGCAATCTCGAAAGCACCAGCTCCAGGAAGCACGGCTTCTGAAAAATCATGTTTGAATCTAAGAGGCAGTACCGTCTGTAATGGCATTCAGCACAGCCCGTAGACCATCGTGAATGGCATCCTTGATCTGGACGATGGTGTGCCTAAAGTAAATAAATGTAAGATTTTGACAGTCTTACTTGTTTGGGCCCTTCAGCAGCAGTGTGACTGACTTTGGATCCTTGCAGTCCTCGACGAAGGTGTATTTGTCCTCTCCCTAAAAAACTATATCCTACCTTACATAATTTTGGCGTGTGTGTGTGTGTGTGTGTGTGTGTTTGTGTGTGGATGTCAGTTTCGAGACCCGATTTGAGGGCCTTCCCGTGTCCAAAACGCTCCAATTCTCCGTCACTTGGGGGAACCGTCCCTTCTGTCGTCCTGCCAGATGCCGTCCTAACCTCTTTAAGATCGAGGTTTTGTAAAGATTTCGAAAATCTCTTTGTTAGGGGCAATTAGCATGCGCCGGAAGTAGGAAGAGCCAATATAAAGAGACAAAGGAGTCGTTTTTCACTTTTTCTTGCTAGAATTAAGGAAGAAACATGCAAATCAAGGACTTTCACAGGTCCTAGACGGGGACGGTTGAAAAGCCGCGAAGCGGTTCTTATATCTTTTAATTCCGCACCAATGTGTGTTCATAGACGAGTCCTGCATAGCCCAACGCGTCAGCAGTAAGTTCCTCTACGCTGTTCACGGCCTAGAACATGCTTTATAAAATCAATATTATCCGAACCTCTCCACCAACAGCCAGCTGGAGACGTTCCATGTTTCTCCTCTTGGCACGTCGCAGAGCCATAATACCAGCCGACGCCAGTAGATCCAACGACGGCGGATCGATTCCCTTCTGGTTGATGACGACGAAGCCCTTGCGCTTCTTCGGGTCGGTCTCATCACCGCAGACCTACAAAATAAATATAATCATATTAAAAGTTAATAATACCGATTTCTTCAACTCGATGATACGCTCAACACGCTTGGTGATGAAGTCACGTTCAGCAGCCAGTAGCTTCTCGCGTTCCGTGGCCGATTTGTAGAAGAGACCGGAGTTTACCTCCCTAAAAAGTGACTAATTAAAGAGGTAAACGCCAACGTCTTTTCGTATTCGAGCGACACGTTGCACGTCAAGATGTAGGCGTTCTCGACGTGTCGCGGCATATCCGGATGACGAGCTCCATGGTCCAAAACGAGACCACGAACTAGGGTCGTGTCCTAAAATAAATCAATTAATGATATGAATGCAAAAAGAATACCATATCACTTTCATGCATCATCTCCTGGAGCTCGACCATGTGCAGGTCGGGGACTTGGCCCTCCTGACGGATGGTGAGCACGGCGTCGACAACACAATCCGTAATATGGTCGGCGAGCTTCTGGTTCAGCTTGGTTCGCAGCGAGGTGCGCGCCACGTTGATCAGCGTCTCGCGGTCAATCTCCTTTGTTACCTAAAAACCCTGATTAACCATCAACAAAGGTGCGAAAACCTTGAATTTCTCCAAAAGCTCCATCGTTTTTTGATTGGCCCATTCGAAGCCCTCGGTGATCAGACGGGGATGTACCCCCTCCAGCACGTGGTTCTCGGCCTGCTTGAGCAGTTCGCCGATCAAAAGCACCGTCGACGTGGTCCCATCTCCGGTGACGTCGTCTTGAGCCGTCGATGCCTTGGCGATCATTGACGCCGTTGGGTGCTGAATGGCCATCTCGTGGAGCAGCACGTTGCCGTCCTTCGTCAGCTTGATGTCACCCGAGCCAGAGACAAGCCTGGAAGAAAATGCGTGAACGAAAGGCAACTCTCACATCTTGATCGTGCCCTTCGGTCCAAGGTTGGAGCGCATCACTTCCTGGAGGCCACGAGCCCCGCTGATGTTCAGCTCGAGGGCGGCGGCGTGTCGAGCGAGCTCGGCCTTGGGGTTCAGACACTGGATAGACGACATACCTGAAAAGATAAAAATTATTGGGTTCCAGAATAAAATCTTTCGCAAATAAATGAGAAACCATTTTCAAGGACCAGATTGATCTAAGCGTTCTAGCTAGCGGGGATCTACAAAGATCGCTCTTACACAGCTTTACAACCGAAAGTAAGAAAATTTGGCCGGGATTTGGGGCAATCACGCTAGACGCAAAACGTTTTTTTAGAAATTGCGAATATTTTTGGGGAAAGGCACGCTAACTCCTTGCATTAGATTCTCAACCCGAAAAATATCCTATTTTTACATAGCTACAACCGAAAGTAAGAATATATACCGTGAATTGGGTGGATAAGCTAAACGTAAAATGCATTAGGGCGCGATCGAAACATTTGTGAGGGCCAGTGTAATTTCGAGTTCTGGCGCTTTCCGCCTCGGCTCGTCGCCTAAATCGTGGACCGGGGCCATTGAGTGTGGAAAATGAGGTCGTCAAATCCCACCCGGCCGTTTTCAAAGGCAAAGGGACCCCTTTTTCATAAAGAATGTAAAGCTTTTCGAATAGTTTGCATAAAAATATGTAATTTAAAGATGGGCGTTACTCCAGTAGTTCGAGGGACGATTCAATCGCTTCCTCAAAACCCTATTATACGCCTTGAACAGTAATCCGCGTTGTCGGAAACGGTATAATATCTCAACGCTCCGGACCAACAAAGAATTATTACTGCACAAAAGCGTAATTTAAATAAGGTTTGTTATACGATCGTTCTCGGTTAGTAAAGCACCCGGGGCGGGGGGGGAAATTGCGCCCTCGCGTTTGTAACGACCTAGGAGACGGGTTCTTTTATTGCTTTTATTATTTCAAAAAGGGCACTACATCGCTTTTGACGATGTTGTCCCTGTATTTAATGTAGATCTTCACGTTCCCTGAGAAAATGGTCGTACTGCGCACCTGAAATATGTTTTTTTTTTACTTTCTTGGCTTTAGCTTCGTTTGGAACTTACAGATACGTTCGATTGCGCGATAGACGGCCCCTAAAAATGTAGCTAATTGCCTAATTTCCTTTATAAACTTCGTAAGATGCACTTACTTGCTTTGACTTGCTTCTTGCCGACTTACTTTGAAACTCTGCCCAAAGATACCGGAAACGTTGCGCTTCGCATTTGTAATGATGACCATGATCGTCTGAAAGTTCGCTCATATAAATCGAGAATCTAAAAATCTGAATCTAAAGTATTTTTTTTAAGTATCAAGGCAATTGACTGCTTATCAAAACTTTACCTTCGTTATCTGTACCATGACGCTTCAAAATATCGTATTCTACATTCGACGACCATAACCAAGCGAACCTACTAAAGTTTGTGCTAATTTATATATTTTATTCATAATAATTCATACATAATCCAGGAACTTAGGCATTTTTCGCAGAATTGAAAAGTGGGCTAAATTTGCTTATACGGTCACCTACTCAAAACCTAACTTTTGATATGTCAAAATGCTCAGCAAGATGAGCTGGTGCAAGTTCCGTTGAGAAAACTTGGTGGCAAAAGCTCTATGTCGAGATATATGACTTCGAAGTGCAATATTCTGACTTCGAAAACTCGGTTTTCGCTGATCGATAAGATAAATAACGTTGCGATACAGGCTTAGCTTTACTCAACACACCCAGTTTGAGCCTAAAAAGAAGGCTTCGTGCCACCCAGGGCCTAGTCGCTTCGGATGGGCGCGAGCTCGTACAGGGTTTCGAAATGGGGGCGCCAAGGCCGGCGAAGCGGCCGGGGGCGCCCCCATTTCGAAAGAGTGGAGCGGCAGCCCATCCGAAGCGACGGCCCACCTTGCCTGACCATGCTCAGAAAGCAAAAAGAATGTGTGAAAACAGTAAATGTGAGTTTAAAAACGGGCTTTTGATCAATTACGTAGTTTTCCGAACTTTCCTCTGGAATTCGTACTGTCTTTTGTTGCTTTTCGTACTACTGCCGCACAAGATTTGCCATTTTGTTGCTTTTCTTTTGTGATATCAACTAAAATAAAAAAGTAAAGACGTCTGTGTGTCTGAAGCCGAATTCAACTCGAAGGGGAAAGGAGCTAGAGCTTAGCTCTCTTCGGATTCGGATAGAGCGTGGTCAGAAACCCCCAAACTGATAAAAAAATTATGAAAAAATTTTAGTTTAAATTATTAAAATTAACTTTGACAGTTTTTTCCTTAGTAAAAGGGGTGGGGGAGGAGGTTGGGGTGATTTTGGACATAGTGAGCCAGGTCGCGCGCGTTTCGTGGATGAAAATTTTCACCGGATCATTTCATTTCTTTTTTTCTCCAACGTATCCGGTCGGTCGTTATTTCAGTTTTTTAAGGGGATTTCGGCTATGGGGGGTATCTAAAGCCATCGGAAAGGTATTTAGGTAGTTTTTTAAGGGGATTTGGGCTATGGGGGGTATCTAAAGCCATCGGAAAGGTATTTAGGTAGTTTTTTTAAGGGGATTTCGGCTATGGGGGGTATCTAAAGCCATCGGAAAGGTATTTAGGTAGTTTTTTAAGGGGATTTCGGCTATGGGGGTATCTAAAGCCATCGGAAGGTATTTAGGTAGTTTTTTAAGGGGATTTCGGCTATGGGGGGTATCTAAAGCCATCGGAAAGGTATTTAGGTAGTTTTTTAAGGGGATTTCGGCTATGGGGGGTATCTAAAGCCATCGGAAAGGTATTTAGGTAGTTTTTTAAGGGGATTTCGGCTATGGGGGGTATCTAAAGCCATCGGAAAGGTATTTAGGTAGTTTTTTAAGGGGATTTCGGCTATGGGGGGTATCTAAAGCCATCGGAAAGGTATTTAGGTAGTTTTTTAAGGGGATTTCGGCTATGGGGGGTATCTAAAGCCATCGGAAAGGTATTTAGGTAATTTTTGAGGGGGATTTCGGCTATGAGGGGTTTCTGAAAACATCAGCATATGTATTGATGAAAGTAGCGAGGGATGTGGTGGTGTAGAATATGGAGGGTAGCCCGAAGGCCAGTCGATTACAGTCGCGAAGCGGCTGTAATCGGCTGGTCCACTATAATAAAACCAGATGGTTACAGTCGCTTCGCGACTGCAACCATCTGGCCTTCGGGCTACCCTCCATGTCTCACTCCACCACATCCTTTCCCACCTCCATCAATACCCCACATAGCCGGAATCCCCTTCAAAAACTACCTAAATACTTTCCCGATGGTTTAAGATACCTCCCATGGCCGAAATCCCCTTAAAAACAAAAATAACGATCGACCGGATGGAATGAGAGGAAAAAAGAAATGAAATCCCCCGTGAAAATTTTCATCCACGAAACGCGCGCGACCTGGCTCACTATCTCCAAAATCACCCCAACCTCCCTCCCCACCCCTGTTACTAAGGAAAAAACTTTCAAAGTTAATTTTAATAATTTAAACTAAAAGTTTTTGATAATTTTTTTATCAGTTTGGGGGTTTCTGAGGGCGCTCTATCCGAATCCGAAGAGGGCTAAGCTCTAGCTCCTTTCCCCTTCGAGTTGAATTCGGCTTCACACAGACAGACAGACAGACGGACGCGTCAAGAAAATTATTATAGTTGAAAGTAGAGACGTCCGTCCGTCTGTCTGTCTGAAGCCGAATTCAACTCGAAGGGGAAAGGAGCTAGAGCTTAGCTCTCTTCGGATTCGGATAGAGCGTGGTCAGAAACCCCAAAACTGATAAAAAAATTACGAAAAACTTTTAGTTTAAATTATTAAAATTAACTTTGAAAGTGGCGCCTTAATAAAACGAGTGGGGGCCCTCTCCCCGGGAGGCCACGCCCCCTTTTCCTTCGCCCTTCTTCCCGAGGCCCTTTCCCGCGCCCAAATAGCTTTTTAAGTTACTTTAATATTTTTAATACTTTATTTTAATATTTAATATTTTATGTTAATTTATTATTTAAATCATTTAAAGTATCGGGATGGAATCTAAGCAGTTTTTGAAGGGGATTTCGGCTATGGGGGGTATCGGAAGCCATCAGGAAGGTATTTAGGTAGTTTTTGAAGGGGATTTCGGCTATGCGGGGTATCGGAAGCCATCAGGAAGGTATTTAGGTAGTTTTTGAAGGGGATTTCGGCTATGGGGGGTATCTGAAGCCATCAGGAAGGTATTTAGGTAGTTTTTGAAGGGGATTTCGGCTATGCGGGGTATCGGAAGCCATCAGGAAGGTATCGAGGTAGTTTTTGAAGGGGATTTCGGCTATGGGGGTATCTGAAGCCATCAGGAAGGTATTTAGGTAGTTTTTGAAGGGGATTTCGGCTAGGGGGGTATTGATGGAGGTAGGAAAGGATGTGGGGGAGTGGGATATGTGGGGTAGCCCGAAGGCCAGATGGTTGCAGTCGCGAAGCGACTGTAACCATCTGGTCTCGAGATAGAGCTTTTGCCGCCAAGTTTTCTCAACGGATCTCGCACGAGCTTGTCCTGCTGGACATTTTAACATATCAATAGTTGTGTTTTGAGTAGGTGACCGCATACGACACTAGCCAACTTCGAAGTCATTTATCTCGATAGGGCTTTTGCCGCCAAGTTTTCTCAACGGATCTTGCACCAGCTCGCCCTGCTGAGCATTTTGACATATTAAAAGTTAGGTTTTGAGTAGGTGACCGTATAAGCAAATTCTCCCGAAAAGTGATCACCATTCAAATGCGCCCGCGGGCGCGCCCCCTGTTGCGCACATGGGCGCTTTTTGCGCCCGATTGCACCGATTGCGCCCTAGGTGCAAAATGGCCCAGTTCGGGCGCATCCGCGGGCGCTTTCTTAACCGAGTTGCTTATTTTGATTGAGACTGAAAGACATGCTAAAGATCGAATTTCCAGCAAGAATAAAGCTTTTCGAATAGTTTGCATAAACATATCAAGTTTTAAGATGATAATCAAGCAGATAATATGAGCAGGAGCCAAGGTTTATGGCGCCAGTATCGAGATAATTTTACGATCTATAGCCAGTATTTTACTATTCTTTTTACGAATCTGCCAAGATAATACGTAGACCTAATATCTCCTTTTTGTTACATACGTTGTATACGCGCAGCTTATTGCCATAGATTTCCCCGAATTTCGCTCGGTTTTCCAGTGCAGATTCTTTGTATCAACTTTTTCTGTTTCCAGATGAGTCGCCCGAAAAACCGGTGGCCACCTCATGGCCGAGGCGATGGAGCTGACGAAAAGAACGGCTTCAAGCACCCGCAATACGGACCCGGCGTCTCGTTTCCCAAAAAGGAATTTGATGACCGCATCCTGCGGCGCCTCGACGCGTTTGCGAGAGGCGACGACCAAGGTTCGTTCAATTTCGCGAGACTATACGAGGACTGGCGCTTTATCTAATTTCTTTAATATTATGAAAATCCTGCGTAGCTACGACTCATAATCCTCGGTACCAGGGTTCGACACCCACCCGCGACGAACTTTTTGCTTTTTGGCTCCGGGGGCTAGGCATGGCTAGATATAACTAGGAAGAAGACTAGTGAAAAGCGCCGCAGGCCCAAAAATTTTCGAAAACAACTTCATTATTCTTGTAAATTGAATTGTGCACAGCTCTCTCGGGAAGTTGATGTTTTTCCTGGTTTTTAGGGAGGATTTTTTTGAGACATTTTGAAAAATGAAAACAGTAACTAAAACGCCGCAGGCACAAAATTTGCAATTATCACTACCCTATCGCAAAAATTGTGCAGTTCTCTCAGTCAAAAGAGCATGTGATCTCAAAATGGAGTGTTTTTGTTTGGCTTCATAGAAAAGAGGAAAATTCAAATAAAACTCCTCCAAAACAGCGTGACTTCCGCCGGCCACAAAGATTCTCTTACCCATACGCAATAGATCTACATGTTTTGATTTTTATCGACAAAGTTGCTGTTGATTTTGCTGTGTACCATTAATGCCTTCTGTTAATGGGCTGGATTTTTTGAGGAGTTTTATTTGAATTCTCCTCTTTTTGATGAAATAAACCAAAACACTCCCTTTTTGAGATAAAATCCTCGTTTGCCTGAGATTAAACACTGGCTTTTCAGAATTCGCATTTGAGCCAATGACAAGCTGTGAGAGGAAACGTCTGCACGAACTGGCCAATCGAAAGGGTCTCGTATCGGAAAGCCGCGGCCACGGCGCGAGCCGGTACACGACTGTCTCGAAGAAGCGCCACTCGACCAACATGAAGACGCAATCGACTGCCACCGAATTGCAAGAAATTCAGCTGGATGATGAGCAAATTGTTGGTTTACCTCTCGAACTATATGACCCCTCTTTTAGGCAGCCATTGACAGCCTCGCGAAAACGATGCCGATTCAGGTCAAGGAAATTGAGGCGCATTTGGACACCAGCAAATGTGAGCTTCAGCTTAGAGTATCTATCTTTTTTTAGCGCTTCGTGGCGGCTATCGTCCCAGACGGGCCGCGCAGCAGCACCATCCGTTGGTACCGAAAAAACCAACGCCACCTCCACACATCAGCGCGTTCGTTGAAATTCGGAATTCATGTTTATTATTGTCTTTTTTAGGTTTCGACAAGGACTGCCGGTTCATCGTTTTCAAGACGACATCCTGAAAGCGATTGCCCACAATGAGGTTCGTTTTGGAATTTTGACGATATAAAATGGGCATCTCCGAAAATACGGCTTCCGGGACGATCACGCTAAAATTAATACACTGGAAAATTCACCCGCAAAATAGAGTTTCCGTCGCCTGATTTTAAAGGCTCGCCGTTTCTGATAGTAGCATATCATAACTTTTTTAGGTGACGTTGATCACTGGCGGTACTGGTTGCGGCAAAACGACGCAAGTCCCTCAGTTCATCCTCGAGCAGTGCGAACGAGAAGGAAAGCCCGTCCGCATCATTTGCACGCAGCCACGACGTCTTCCCGCCATTGCCGTCTCGCAGCGAGTGGCCCACGAAAGGGGCGAAAAATTGCCCGATACCGTCGGCTACCACATCCGGCTCGAACAAAAGTAGTTACCATTCCAAAGGCCTTCCACAACTATCCTCTCTTAGGGTCACTGACAAGACGATGTTGATGTACTGCACAGCTGGGGTGTTGCTGCGGATGCTGACCAAAGATGACGAGTCGTGTGGAGCGACCCACATCATCTTGGTGCGCTTTTACCGGCGTATTTTAAGATCTTTTCAGCCCAGAATAGGTATCTCTAGAAAACCTTTGTTGGGACTATAAATACCGTCTCTGTGTGTGCATTGTCTTGAACTATGCTTCGGACTAAAAATTCTCATATCTGAATTTTTTAGGTTGAATAATGAATTTTTTGCGCTCAAAATTACCAAATTTTCTAACATTCCGTCTTTTCTAACATTTGTTGAAATTTTCTAGCTCAATTCAGTGACAATCTGCTAAAAACTACGTTAAACGACTAGATTCGATTGCGAGTCCAAACTGCACGGATCTGTAAAAATTTGATTTTAACTATTTTTATAGGACGAAGTGCACGAACGTGAGAAAAACACGGACTACCTTCTGATTGCCCTCCGGGAAGCTCTGAAAAAGAAGTCAAAGATAAAAGTATGAATGTGTATCGCTAATTTAGCTATTATCTTTTTTCAGGTAATTCTTATGTCGGCGACGATGGAGGGGAATATCGATTTGTTTAAAGAATACTTCAAGTGCTTCCGAGTTGCGCATATCGACGGTAAATTGCATTAAAGCATTTAAAAACTGATTTTCAGTCCCTTCGAAGCTGTTCGACGTGAAGACGCTGTTTCTGGGGGACGTGATCGCGATGACGGGCTACTGCCCACCCCCGAGCACATTTGGAAGCGCCGCGTCGAATGTGTGGAACGATCCGGGCTCGATGCTGCGGACGACCAACAGCTGTTCCAACTTCCCGATCGGCCAGTACGACCCGTATCAAGGCACCAGTCACTATGCCCACAATGGCAACTTCAGTGATATGCTCACGCATAATCAGGTGATTTTTGGCGAAGCAATTGAGATGCTGCAATAGAAATCGGCTAAATAATTTTTTTTGTGAATCCGTGTAAATCGTAATTTTAATTTTTCTCTGAAATTCATTTATTTGGCTTTCAGACGGCACCCGATCTTCGCCACTACAACACCCCGTCACCCCAAGTGAACCTGATCTCCAGTCAAATTGCCGCGTACGTCCTGCTCCATGTTCTTAGGCCCGAATTTCAGATTGGAACTGCCACACGTCCGAAATGGACAGTCGTTCAGCGGACAATACCAACATCACTCGATGCTCCACGAAGCCGACACGATGGGACAGCCGGAAATTGAGGAGTTGGCGATGAGTGACGACGAATCAGAGGCCAAAAGTGATCAATCATTTCTTTCACTAATTGCCACTTTCCAGATACCATAACCCCGCAGGACTCGTTCAGCGGCCAACCCCTGCAGGCGCCGTTGAAGCATAATTACGCGAGTGCGAACTGGAGCCAGCCGAATGCCGGAAATCAATCGTGGACTCACACTCAGTCATGCGCCACAATGACTTCTCCTCCGGCCCTCGATCAAAGACTGTATCATTGGCAGGACACGAACATTTACCCGCAGGCTCCGAGGTACTTAATTTTTTAATCAAAACGTTGAGACGCTTTTACGTTTATGAATGGTAAACAATTGTATGGCAACACTTTGTCTATTTATATAAGAAAAATTGGCCCCAGCCCTTCCCCCCCCCCCCCGCCAATAATGACAAAGCATTACATAGAAAGTTTCAAGATGCCAAAATTTCGCCCGAAAATCCGCAATTTTCCGTCGAAAAATAGATATTGGTAGATTTGTAATTTTTTCATTGTTTTGGATATTTTACTGGGAGGTAGTTTTATTTGGGGGATTGGTTAGGAGAAAACCGCGTTGTCACGTCCTTTATTTTTGTTACAAAAATTCCGTGATCAGGAGACGGGTGAGTCACTCTGGAAATACTAAATAACCTAAAGATTACTATTCTATTTTTCTAATTGTAGATTCTACCTCGACCAGGGCAACTCTGGCTACCAAGGAACCTTCGAGGTATGGAGTGGTTTATTTAGTTTTTATAAAAGAACTATCAGGACCAAATGCGGCACGAGACTGAGCAGATGCGCCTTCGCCGTGATCGACTGATGACAGCTCTGTCGCGGCCGTATCCTGTATTTTGCGAAGAGGTGGTCAAGGATCTGGAGAAGCACAAGAAGGCGGGCGATCTTACTGAGGAGGAAATGGTCAATGTGAGAACTTTGAAAATAGGCCATACAATTTGTTCATTTAGTTGTACCTGCAATGTGGTGGAAATCAATACTCGGAAAATGTGGACCACGACATTTGCGTTCGACTCGTCATGTTCTTGATGAACAGCCCCATTGACGGTTCGGGTTTTTGGCGTTATTTCAAAATACATGGTCTAGGTGCAATTCTGATTTTTCTGCCGGGTTTCGATGACATTAGCACGATGCGAGCGAAACTGGAGGACATGGCCGGAAATCTTGTGAGTTCGAAGATTTCTCTGCACTTTTCGAATAACATATTTCCGAAAACCGACTTTAAAATAATTTTTTCGAATTTACCTAAAATTTATTAAATTTTTCAATTTTTCTGGAGAATAGTTTCAGAAAATTTGGGATAAAACTGCCAATAGTAAAAAATACCGGATGTAAGAATTTGCGATTGAATGAAATTTTTTCGAGAATATGACTTTCTAAAAAGACGTAGACAATGTGAATTTCGAGAATAGAAAACGCGAAGAAGGAAATCAAATGAAAGAAAACGCGAAAATAGCAAAGAAAATAGACAATTTTATCCAGCTAGAGTAATTTGTTTTTTTTAGCGTCAAAAGCTCCACATCTACTGCCTCCACTCGCAAATGCATTCCTTTGACCAGCAGCGCGTTTTCTCGCGCATCCACGATGGCGGACGGAAAGTGGTATGTTGAGTGGTAGCCAAATATTGGTTAGTATACTTTTATTTTCAAAATATCGAAAATCGTGGTGTTGAAATTTACATGAGCAAATCTTCCAGAAAAAGCCCAAAATTAGGGAGAGACAAATTTCAACACTGACTTTTCGACATTCAAATTTTGATATCAATACAGAATCCACCACTCTTTTTCAGATCCTTTCTACCAATATTTCTGAGGCATCGTTGACGATTGATGACGTCGTCTTCGTCATTGATTGTGGAAAGGTTGCTATATTTTTATCCATTATTAAAGCTTCGTTTTTAGGTAAAAGAGAAAACCTACGAGCACGACTCGCGCATTTCTCAGCTGAAAGTCCAATGGATTGCCAGAAGCAATGCCGAGCAGCGCAGTGGTACACGCATTTCAAGAATCCCTCAAAAACGCTTTCAGGCCGTGCCGGTCGATGCCGCAATGGATTCTGCTTCCGCCTGTACTCATTGGCCGAATACGACGCTTTCCTCCCATCACAAGCCGCCGAGCTGCAACGTGTCGCAATATATGTCTGGAATAATCAGTTTTAGAAAAATATCCTTTTAGGAAGTCGTCTTACATGCAAAGATGTTTGCCGGCGACCAAGTGAGCGTTCGGGAATTCATCCGCCAGGCGCCCGAACCACCGCGGGCCGAGTCTGTTGAGAGCAGTATCAGCTTCTTGGAGGTATCACAAGTGTCTTAGCATGGTTCTGGTTCTTTAGCGGGAAGGGGGTCAATTTTTAGGTATAAAGAGTATTGTTTTGTACCGTTTTACTGCAATTTTTGTTTTGCTTGTATTTTTGAAGCTTTTAGCTACCGGAGACTACCAAAACACGATAATACCTAGGACAGCACTGCTATGGAAATTAGGCTAATGATCCCTCCACTAAGGTACCGGGGCGGCTTTCGAGTTTAAGCTTTTTGAACAATTTTCCCCCTTTTTAGCAACTGGGTGCCCTCTACGATCAAGCGGCGAATAATGATGAGATCGATCCTCGACCCGAGCGATTGAGCTTCTACCAGATGCAGCAGAACTTGTGAGTTTCTGGAGCTCGATGGTGATTCGAACTTTTTCTGTTTTAGTCAAAAGCCCGGATTCTACAACACGCTCGGTTTTTTGTCGATGAAGTCTCGCGAGCCAATGCTAACGCCACTGGGGAGGACTATTGGTATTTGTCCCTCAGTTTTACTGAATCTTTTTTTCAGCGTTGTTGCCTCTGGAGCCACAATTGGCCAGGCTTCTGCTGTTTGGCGTGGCGTTGAAATGTCTGGACCCGATCATCAGCCTCGTCTCTATATTGAGCCATCGCGATCCATGTACGTCGTATCGTGGAACTTTCGCATTATCGGGGGACCAATTGTTTTCATTTAGTATCCATCTTCCTAATATAGGGAGCGTGGAAGTTTTAATGATTTATATTTAAAAATTATTAAATGTAAAAGAATTATAATCTGGCGACAGAGATGGCCGATTTTCGCCTAATTTCGGTTTTTCTCACTAAATATAGTTTGACTTCTTGAAAACACGAGTCCAGAATGCAAAATATAATCTTTTTAAATAAATTGTAGTTTATTTGAAAAGTTTTGTAAGTAAATTAAATTTAATAATTTTCGGGGTTGTGTGCTTAGTTTTTCCACGTGAAATTTATTTAATTTTTATTACAAACTATAATTGGCAGGTTGCCAACCAGAAGTGTCCATGCAATAAAAAACCAGGTTAATGCTTAATTTATCCGGGCTTTCCTGCTCCCTTTAAGATAATTTCTAGGCTTTTCTGGATTTAAGGCAACGATCAATCCCCCGATATTGTCAAAGAACCCGTTTCATTCATTTTGATCTCTCACATTTTAGTCATCATCCCCCACATGGACGATCGAGAAGGATTCAGCAGGATGAAGGAGGGTTTCGGCCGCCGCGATCTCTCGGATCATCTGATGTTCATCCGCACATACATCGAATACACCGAGCAGAAAAAGAAGGGACATTCACCGCTTTCGATTTGGGCCCAAAAGAACTACATCCAGATGAACGCGATGAAGATGATCGAGGGAATCAAGTGGGAAAATTTGATTTTTTTAATTAGTTTTTTAGACGGCAACTTTCGGAGGAGCTGCGCCGGACGGGCATCATCCAGACGAATTGTGACGAGACCGAGATGAATCTGCACAGGTTATTATTATTTTTTTATTATCATATGTCCACCTATATGTTATTTTTTATCACTCAAAAAGGGCGGTACTTTACCATAGGGAGAATTGATAATTTTTGAGCAACTAAATCTGGTTTTGGGGCAGTCTGGGAAAGATAGGGGATAGCGACCATTGGGACCAGCGCCCGGAGGGATAAGACTGGGCTTAGACCAGCGCCGCGGAGCGGCGCGATTTTTTTGACAGAAAACTGGGTTTTGGGATAATTTTGCAGGATTTTTCGGTTGTCGAAAATTATTGATGGTATGCTGTGTTTTCCGTCTCAGATGCCCTACGTAGGTTAAACATTTTTTTGAAGCCAGCTCTGGCTCGGAGCGAACCGATAAAAATAAATCATCAAAGAAAAATTGCAGGCGACGATTAACGCGAAGGCAACTGAAAGAAGCCGAAGAAGAAGCTGACGAAGTCTCTACAATGCATTCCTTTCTTATCCTCTCAAGATCATACGCCTGCTCTTACCTATCTCTGACCTTTAAAGCTTCCTTGATGTGTATAGTACTGTAAAGTTGTGAAAACCCCGAATTTGTTATCCAATGTCAAAAACCTCAAAGATAACTGAAAACATGGCCGGAGATACTTTTGAAACCAGAATTGAGCCTTCCTAACGAAAAACTTATTTTTTTGATCATATCCCAAAACAATTGTTCCATCAAAAACTCAAATTTTGATTCCAATGACCGATTCACTTCAAACTTGGCATAATGGTAGATCTGGGTCTACTAATCACCAGGAAAAAAATATCAGATTTTTTGTACGCGGTTAAGACCGGTTTTTGGGACCAGCGCCAAATCGACCAATCAGCCGACCAATCAAGGTTTTTCCCGGTTTTGGTTCCCTGAAATATCAGCTAGATTGGTTTTAATTGGAATGAAGGTAGCCTAAAGGATGGGTTACCGTATGCCAAAAAGAATATTTAGATTGCTTGCGTCTGCTTCGAGCCTGGGACCAGCGACTGTCACTTTTTTTGGATTTTGAAAATCGGCCAAATTCGGAGTTTTTCTCTTAACAGGGGGGGAGTAATTTTTTAAAAATTTTTCCTTGACGCCGGTGATAGAGTAGGATGTGCTCTTTCGAATGACGGATCGTACGTCCGGGTCCGGCTCCTCTACGCGGAGCATGGGACCAGCGACTCCATTGGTCGAGCCGATTTTGCACCTTTTATATGGCCTTTGGGGCCATTAGTAGGCTATCTCTGCCGAATTGGAAGGGATCGACTTCAAATGTTCCCTGGTGATGAGGAACGTCATCAGCAAGCTGGAATAAATCTGGCAACTCGATTCGGTGCATTTGAAGACCGCTTTGGGACCAGCGACGGATGTTGCCGGAACAAAATCGGCTCGACCAATGGAGTCGCTGGTCCCATGCTCCGCGTAGAGGAGCCGGACCCGGACGTACAATCCGTCATTCGAAAGAGCACATCCTACTCTATCACCGGCGTCAAGGAAAAATTTTTAAAAAATTACTCCCCCCTGTTAAGAGAAAAACTCCGAATTTGGCCGATTTTCAAAATCCAAAAAAAGTGACAGTCGCTGGTCCCAGGCTCGAAGCAGACGCAAGCAATCTAAATATTCTTTTTGGCATACGGTAACCCATCCTTTAGGCTACCTTCATTCCAATTAAAACCAATCTAGCTGATATTTCAGGGAACCAAAACCGGGAAAAACCTTGATTGGTCGGCTGATTGGTCGATTTGGCGCTGGTCCCAAAAACCGGTCTTAACCGCGTACAAAAAATCTGATATTTTTTCCTGGTGATTAGTAGACCCAGATCTACCATTATGCCAAGTTTGAAGTGAATCGGTCATTGGAATCAAAATTTGAGTTTTTGATGGAACAATTGTTTTGGGATATGATCAAAAAATAAGTTTTTCGTTAGGAAGGCTCAATTCTGGTTTCAAAAGTATCTCCGGCCATGTTTTCAGTTATCTTTGAGGTTTTTGACATTGGATACCAAATTCGGGGTTTTCACAACTTTACAGTACTATACACATCAAGGAAGCTTTAAAGGTCAGAGATAGGTAAGAGCAGGCGTATGATCTTGAGAGGATAAGAAAGGAATGCATTGTAGAGACTTCGTCAGCTTCTTCTTCGGCTTCTTTCAGTTGCCTTCGCGTTAATCGTCGCCTGCAATTTTTCTTTGATGATTTATTTTTATCGGTTCGCTCCGAGCCAGAGCTGGCTTCAAAAAAATGTTTAACCTACGTAGGGCATCTGAGACGAAACTGCTGACTTCAGTAAAAAAGCTTCTAGATAATAAACGGCGCGTGAGCGCCGAAAAATTTTTTGCCAATGCTAGCCCTTAGACCAGCGCCCGGACCCCTTTTTGGAACCAGCGCCCACCCGGTTTCGACCAATGGGGTATCAGACTGTTTTGGGGGTTCAGATGTCTGCGCAAAAGCGCAAAACCTAACCCCGGTATTTAAACCTTTTTTTGGGAATATGAAACTTTAGTTTAGAAAAAACACGTTTTTTGGAGATCTGGAGATTTTTTCGAGATAAAAGGAATTTTTTGAAATTTCCGGCCAGACAGACGCGTTCATTTTCAGCGGCTCCTGGCCGATGGTGAGGGCTGCTATCGTGGCGGGCTGCTATCCGGGTGTCGGTTACGTCCGTATCGGCAACCGCCTGAAGAAGATACGCACTACCGTCGATCAGAATTGCGGCCTGCACACGTCGTCGTGCATTCGACGTCAGGTATACAACGTTTTCAGCTCTACTTTATATTTTTAATTGGAAAAATTGATTTTGTTAATTGATTAAAACTCTCATTTTTAAAATTTTAAAATTTTAAAATTTGTGTTCCCAGTACGGTCCCATAGGAACATCTAAACCATTTTATAGCTTTTACAAAATGTTTAAATATAAGAAACTCATAAAAATTGGCTAACAGTCCAGTCCAGTTTTTGACGAACCATCTGGTATATGATCTCTTTTTCTTTAGTTGATGAATCGGAACACGGACAATCAGCGCAACGGCGAACCCAAGGAAGAGCCCCACATCGAATACGTCGTCTTCCAAGAGCTCTCCCGCATGGAGGGACAATCATTGACGGTGAGGAATGAAGATTCAAATATATCATTTTGTATTAGTTGCGAACGGTGACTGTCGTGCCGCCACTCGCCATGCTGCTCTTCTCTGGAACAATGCGCCTGAAAAAGGCCACGTTTGACTATTTCAAAATTGGTGCGTTTTGTTTGAGTGCTTTTGCATTATCGGGAGGATGGATCTTTTCTTTAATGTCGAATTTGTCTGATGTGAATAGTGGTATTTAGCCGTTAGCCGTAAAAGATAGATCCCACTATATATAAAAAAATAGTGTCTGTGTGTGTGCCACTTTGCATCCACTTCCGTATCCTTGTTCCAGTAGTAAGTCCATTCGGGAGAAGTTAGGGTTGGGTACGATACATCATTATGTGCGTAATGATCTAGGGATGACTGCCCACATATAAGATTTTTAAAAATCAGCCATTTTCGATAAAATTTAAGTTTTTGTAAAACCCTCTTTGCTAGGAAAAATTAACATTGACCGGAAGTGGGGAGTCGCGCATATATAGGGTCAGAAGCGAAATATTTTCATTTTTTTGTCATCTGGATTCAGCGCAATTATGCAAAGCGTAGAACAGCATGCGGTCCAAGACGGGGCCAGGGTTGAAAAGTCGCGAAGCGGCTTTTCAACCCTGGTTGTTCATAAAAACATTCTTGTGCAGTCTTGGACCTGATGAAACTCCCTTCCCCCTGCTAATGCCAAAGAACCCGCGTCATAATTTCAATTCAGACGCCGAGCACGACGTCGAGGAACTGGGCAGTGATGAGGAACAAGAGGCGGCAATCTACCCGGCGCTGTCCATCCTTGAGCTCGACGATTGGTTCGGGGCAAAGGGCAGGCGAGCGGTGAGCTTTGGTGTTTTTATTGACTTATTTTTGGGCGTTCAGCACCTCCGGCGCGTCGTTCAACTTCGATTCCGGATCATGGATTACTTCCTGAAGGTGATGGAACAGCCGAAGCTGCTCTACACTCGTAAATACGATGTAAGAAAAATATAAAGCAATATGTAAATTTTGGACTTTTTGGCAACAGATGTAAAAATTAACAATAAAAGGCCAGAGAAGATTTTCAATTCTATTCTGAATTTTTTATATATTTTTGTTTTCAGGACTTGTTGAAGACGATCCGGACGTGCTTGGAGGTCGACCACGAAAGCCACCACTTCAACCCGTACGTATTTTGCTTCGTCAAAGACGTTTGTTTAGGGTTTCATCACTGCCTGTCTGGAAGGTGAATGAACAAGAGCGAGCGCAAATCTTGCCGCCTGATCTGGAGCAGGTACTATTTTTTAGATTTCTGGAAACCAGCTTCAGACGAGAAACACGCAGTCGTCGCACTCGCAATCAAGCCTCTCCTGGGAAGAGGTGCTTTTCTACAGCTCCCAAACTTTGGTTTTAAAGGGATAATGACGGCATAAGTCAATCGATTACGCACGCGAAAGAAAATAGCTTTGCGCCTCTCCCCTCGGCGCGCCCTCTGCCTTGTTGGCTATTTGCCAAAAAAATTTAAACCCCCCCTCACAAAGGGAGTTCAACAGATGCCGTCCTTATCTCTTTAAGTTAAACAAAGCTTTATAACTGGAAACAAACACTTAAAATAAACCTTCCATTTAGAATCCGAAGACGACCGTGGTGAAGGTGTTCGCTCAGCAGCGACGAGCGCAGCAAGAAGAAGTCAAGGCCAAGCGAGTCGTGCAGCCGGAAGCGCCGCGTGAAGCCCATCCGCCACCGACGCGCCAGCAGAGCTCTTCTTCGAAAACGGATAGCCGTGACCGCGACCCGCCAAGATCCTATCGTGGTACGTTTATTGCTTTCTAGAAATAATATTAAATAATATAGCTATAGATAGATAAATAAATGGTGTATTTCGAATGTCCTTTAGTTAGTTTTGGATGCTAAAGAAAGTTTTAAAAAATTAATTTTAGGTTAAAATTTGAAATGTGAGCATTTGGCCATTTTTCATACATTTTCATAACTTTCTAACTCCTTTTTTATATCTAAACAATTGTATAAAGTTTTCTAAAAATGGGTATTTAGTTATAGCGCCATACGGAATTACTGAGGGTTAAAATCGGTCCTCCCACCCCAATTGCTAAACCAAAAACTCTTTTAGAATCCCCGCGGGCCCCGTATCGACCTCGTGATACGCCGCAAGAACAGCCACCGCCGCCAGTCTCGCACGATGACAACGATGCGCACCGCGGCCCGTCGCTTCGCGGCACTTCGGGACCCCGCGGAATGCGAGGCACCTTCCGGGGCCGTTCAAATGATGTGCGCAACGATGGCGCCAAGCCCTACTACCATCAGTACGACAAATGTTCCAAGAGGTTCGGTCGTTTCCAAGTTCTACTAAAATTCTACTAACAAGGGGGACGTTTTTAGGGTTGACGGGGTTGTGGAACTGAGCAAAGCCTATTTTTGCGTTAAATTTTGCGCTGATAAAAGGTACTTTTCAAACGCGGAACACGATATTTAAAAAGTGATGAGGTTTTTAGGGTGCGAAAGATACTCTAGCGCGCGCGGAAAAGAAAATGTCTCTGCTCCTCTCCCCTGGGCGGCCTCTCTGCCCTGTTGGCTACTTGCCAATTTGTTGATGAGGCGGGATCGACACATGCCGTCGGCAGCACTTTAACTTTTTTAATCCGCTTTTGAAAGCCATTTCGGAACCAGCGCAAAATTTTGCACAAGCTAGGCTTGGACCACTTCCGGAACTCCGTGGACAATCAAAAAGGTCTCCTTGCAAGGCTAGTTTTTCCTAATTTTGGGTTGTGTTTCAGGAATTCGGGCGGCGCGCAACAGGACAACGCCGTTTCCGGCAATTCGCAGGGCAACAGGTATGAAGGCTTTTTTGTTGTTGCGTAAAATGCTCCTCTTTTAGTCGAGCCCACTATTCGAATAACCATCGCCGCCACGAGCGTCACAAGGATTATGAGGTATGTTTCATTTGTGGCTTAGTTAGCTTAGAAAATTTTAAAAAATCTAAATTTCGGACTTCGAAACTTTGATAAAGTCTAAAGTTGTTGACTTTGACCAAAAAGCAAAAAGTTTTGCATGACCGGGGGGGGTCGAACCAGAGACCCTCCGCCCCAGAGGCATGTTAGTTAGCCACTACACCACTCGACAGGCGGACACCCATCTTTGGGAGGGGCTCATAAGGGAGGGCGGAGCATGTAGTGCAAAACTTAAAATGCTCATAACTATTTTGTATTAAGCGTTTAGCAAATTCTGATTGCAGTTTCGGAATCCCCGTCGCCGACTCTATCAGACCCATATTTTTGCTAAGCGGTTTGCTGGGTTTTTTATTTGCACTTCCCTAGTAAGGAAACTTTTCTCTTTTTTCATTTAGGGCTTTACGCATACTGAAAATCTCCCATTTTTGAGATTTCAGAGATTTTTCCGTGCGGCTCCATAACGAAATATATAATTTTTATCTTATTTTATATGGTTTTTAGACATAAAACTCATCAAATGATTATAAAAATTTTCGAAAATTTTTTGACTTTGTCAAAAACGTATGAATTGGCCCAAAAGGCGGAAATGTTCAAAGTTTCAACATTTCAGTGATGTTTCTAACTCGAAAAGTACTAGAGACGCTAGAAAAATAAATTATAAATTATCAGGCGGAAAAACAAGAATTGGTTTTCCCCCTGCTAACCGAAGAACGAGCCGGATTCTTCTTTTATCTTACCTTATCAAAATATTGCCGATTTCAGGAGCAACATCCACAAGACCCGCCCCAGAGCTCTTCCGACCGGAATTGGCGTCAGAATCACGGCTACGACAACTGCACGCCACTCCCAGAGTATGAACATCGATTTAATCACGAATAGTAATACCTTGTCTAGGACCAACGTGTGCTACAGCCGCAGCCGCGAAGAGGAGGTGCTCCCCCACAGCCCGGAGGCCGGTGACCGTGACGATGATGAGGAGCCGGAAGTCATCCCCCCACCGCCCGTTCAGAATGCCGAGGGCGGTGGCCGCAACAACCAAAAGCGCCGCGGCCACAGCAACTTCAACAGGGGCAACAAGGAGGGCGGCGGCCATGTCCGCGAGTTCCGCAACAGCAAACGCGGTTCGTTTTGGCTTACTTTAGTTTTTAAAGATTTAAAAAGGCAATCGGCTATTTTGCAAAATTGGGGGTGGGGGACAATTTTTTCGTTAGGGTCCCATTTTTTATAATATAAATAGAGAAACTGTTACTACAGTTAAAACTTAAATAGATACACTTTTTCCACAGTTTTCCTAGTTTACTATTCCTATGGTAAAAATTTCATCGTTTTATTAAAAAACCGATTTGCCGATCAGATTTTGACATTTTTAACCTTTTACCAAGTCTCTGTTCTTTTTCGCATCATCAGCCAATTTTTTTGTATTAGTCTAGAAATTCCTAGTAAAATAAAAGTAAATAATTGTTAGTGTTGTAGCAAAATATATCTAAATTTTAGCTAGAAACACTATCTAACAAGGGGACCTCACGGAGACATGGTGGAATTTCGGAAAACGCTCGCGGCTACCCCCGGGCAATTTTTTATTCTTAACTCGAAATTTTGGTCAAAAATCGCTGATTTCTAGAAAGAGAAAAAGCCAGAAAATCTTTTTTTTGGTCTATTTTCAATCAAATCAAATTTGGAAAGGTTTTACGTTTAGGAATAGTAACAACAGTACAGTTCCGCGAATTATATTTGCAAAATTGGGTCCTAAAAAGATGGCCTCCTCCCCCCCCGATAATGCAATAGAAAAATCTTAAGTTTCTATTCAAGCTGCTATTTTCTATGCTTTAGCTATAAAAAATAATTTAGGTGGCTTCGACCCGCACAAGCGTGGGGGAGCGTCGAGTCGTCGTGGCGCCGCCGGTCGGCCATCCGAATGAGCTGCAGCGAACTCCTCGACGATGAAGTTCGCCTACTTGCCCTCCCTCTCCCTCCCCATTTTGTATAACTGGTGATACTTGCTTATGTTCTCAATACTCGTGATCTTTCTCCCGATCTATGAGCGTTTTATGTGCCGGCCTTTGATGTGATCTGTTGTAATATGACTTGTCCTTACGAATTAACTAAATTGCGTGTACAAATCACATTTAGGATTTTTAATTATTGCTCCCCCATCCCCACCACCTCTTTCATGGCGTGATCATTGTCTCTTGGGGTCATACACACGGATTCCGTTCATTTTTGTCAAAAAAAAGTAATTTGTGTAAATTCTTTGGTACGGGACTTAGCAGGGGGAAACAAAATTTTTGTCTTACCACCTGTTGATGATTTAAAATGCATTTTTATAGTGTTTTTCGCAGTTTTTATTGCTTCAATGACATGGATAAATTTTAAAAATTGAAGAATTGAAATCCCCCGCCAACGGTCCTTTTTCTGAGTAGGCCAACCGTAGCTATTGCTGAGTAGGCGAAAAACCCGCCTAAAACAGCGAGAAAAATACTTTACGGTAAATGAACGTAACCCGTCGTGCACAAACGCACCCACCCACACACCCACTCATTCCATGCCTCCATCCGTAACGTTGACCTCAATCCACACACACACCACGCCTTCTACCTGTTGTCCCTGTTGTACTCGCCAAATTACGCATAAACATTTACCAGTTAGTTGCGTCCACATTGACACGCGTTGAACTGGGGTTGCTGCGTGGGCCATGGTTTTGGATTACACACTTTTGCAGCGGTTCCATTAGGAAGGGCTTTCGGACCGGCGGGGAGGTCATTTCAGCAGAATGCCCTTTATTTGCGTGTCTGCGCGGCGTTGGGATGGCCCAACGAATGTCACAGGTAGTACTGACTTTATTATTGACCAAAAGCTGTAGGACATCTTGCAATCGACGAGGAGCTAGTCACCGTCCTTGATGCCCGACCGAAAAGGGCCACAAAAGAGGGACCGTATCGGTGATTAACTGATATTAATAGAGCAAATTGATGGATAATTGGGAAAATTCGGTTATCCGGTCACCGAGCCAAAACCAAACTTTTTTTATGTAGAAATGTTCAGCTCGATGAGCTGGTTCAGGATCAGTTAAAAAAAAAGAAATCAGCCTTTTCGGCGATCAAACTTTGGTTCCCTATATCTCGCTCCAAAAGTGTTCCCAATCGTTTTTTCAACTGATCCTGAAGCGGCTTGTCGAGCTGAATATTTCTACATATAAAAAGTTTGGGTTTGGCCAGGTGACCCGATACCCGAATTTAGGCGGATAATTTTCCGCAATCACGTACAGAAAATGAGCCGATCAAGCCAGTTCGCACAGCGCACATGAAAATCGAGTGAACTTGTTAGCATTACCTAAATTAAGATGCCCAGTTGGTATAAAAACAAGCTATTAGTAGCTGAAGTGTTTTCCGCTTGAAATATAGCTATGTGATAAAAAACGCTACAATTACTATTACGTTACTAGACATTTCTTCTAGATATGAAACGCAACTTCCACCCGTAAAAGTGCTCGATCATCTGGAAAACCTAGGTACGCGGCAATGGCAATGTAACCCTGGAACACCAAATTCAGGCTTCCGGCTCTGCACCCAAACCCTCAACGCAAACACCTCCGGCAAAGTGTGGACGCTGCAAAAATGCTGATTTTATTCGAAAGAATAATTGAAATGAATAAAGGTGTCCGAAAAATGTCGTGGGTGGCGTACGTAACAGAGAGGTAAGAAGCAAATTTTGGGACGCGATGAGGCAAAAGAAACCAGTTTAGGGGGAAAAATCACAGGACGCGTGAATGAAGCGGTGACTTTGCAAGTCCACGAAATTAAGGATTTGCAAAATTAAGATGAGCTATACACAAAAAAATAAACGAATCTAGGCAAACATCAAGTGTCGGACGGTTCGGGCGGTTCGGATGTTTGCAAAAATCTACATAACTAGAAGTATTTCAAACCTAAAATTGGTAAGTTTTGGGCTGTAAAGTACGTTCTCATAACTAAATACGGTCTATTAACATATAGTTTAATTTAATGAATATTGTTATACAAAGTCTACTTAGTAAATTTTGCCGTCCGAGCTGTCCGAGTTTTGCTAATTGTCCTAAATCTACGAACACACGTGCCTAATTACTACCAGCGTTTTGGGGTGCTGTAGATCTAATGGGCGCCCTCCTCTTCCTCCTTGAACTTGTTGTATTCGGCCTCGGTGAGCAGCTGCTGTAGTTCGCCATCGTCCTTCACCCTCAGCTTGGCGATCCACCCGTCGCCCAGCGGGCTTTTGTTGATAGTGTTCGGCGTGTCCTCCAACTGTGTGTTTCGCTCGACAACCGTCCCGGCGATTGGCGTATAAATGTCGGAGGCGGCCTTCACAGATTCGATAGCTCCAATCGAGTCGCCTTTCCCGAATTCTTTGTCGATTTCGGGGAGTTCGACAAAGACGATATCTCCGAGGGCCGACGCGGCGAATTCGGTGATGCCGACGGTGCCGATGCCATTTTCGACGAGGACCCATTCGTGTTTCTTGGTGTAACGTCGTTCACCGTTGGCGCGGGCTGAGAGGTGGAGGCCGGCCTTTCGCATGAAGCACGTGACCGTCAGCCGCCCGGAACGCAGGAGCGTGGCGCTCATTGCCTGAAAATGAAAAGATTAATGGGTATTACGACTTAACACTTATTTATAGAAAGAATGATGACTAGATTAAAGTTTATTACTCGATATTGCAACAATTTAAAAGCGTAAGTGTAGCATGATTGCATATACAGGGTGTCCCAAAAAAATCCCCTAGCCGGCCGCAGGCGTGTCCGATTTTTACGATTTAGGTATCTATCGAAAGCTCTCGGAAAGGCGAGTCCAGCACGTCTCTTCGATTTTCATAATTAGGAAATTCCGAGAGCTTTCGATAGATACCTAAATCGTAAAAATCGGACACGTCTGCGGCCGGCTAGGGGGGATTTTTTTGGGACACCCTGTAGATCATTAATCATTAAGTATTTACCCAACTGTCCAGTAAAACGAGCGCCCTGGTTTTCCGGCCCGAATCAATATCGCCAACCAAATTTCACGCAAACAAAGTTGGAAATAGGTTTTCTAAAGTAAAAAATGAGCATAAAGCCGCAAGTTTTTAAATTTTCGTGGGAAACCAGGGCGAGAAATGCACGTTTTGAAGAAAGGAGAGTCTATCAAACATTGCCCGGAAAAAGAAACGCGGGCTTCGATCTAGAACCGACGCCGGCGTGCAAGTGATAGAGCGAAAAAGTCCGTAATGATGGGTGCATGCAGCGAACGATAAGGTGATTGAGAGAAACGATCGCCGCCCCCGGCCTTATCTTTATCTTCTCTTCCATAATACGATGCGCTGCTCCCTACAAATGCCCTCGGTGAGAACGTGAACTGTTGCACCCGGGAATGCGAATCACCCCCAAATTACACGTCGCAATTTGAATCGACACTTTTTTATCCACTTAGGTTTTTATAATTTTTTTTTGGCTAGATTTTTACCCTTTTTGGCAAAAACTATTTGCCAAAATGGAAAGCGGAACCAACAGAAATTAAGCCGGCTAGCCAGGAAGTACTCCCGCTTAGATGGTTACACGCAAACAGATTTTTTGGCAAGATTTCGTCCTCCGTGAGCGAGCCCCAAACGATCCTACCGCGATTTGACCAGAATGTGAGCGCGAGAGTGAGGTGAACTATGCTCAAAGCACGGAAATAAGTAAAAAAAACCCTGGAAAGATGCGCTAGAGGGTTTATTTGTCGAGCCTTATCCATCATGTTATCTTCTTTTTTTCAATACGGCGACCGCTGTGTCTCGGATAGAAACAACAGTTCATTTTCCAGAAACCACTCCGATGATTGTCCTTCGCGCGCTACTGACGGTGACAGCCCTCTCACTGGTCGCGGCCCAAGATGACAAGCCGAAGGGCCCGAAGGTCACCGACAAGGTTAAGTCATCATATCGGTCATCCAAAAAACAATTTCTTTTTAGGTTTGGTTCGACATCGAAGTTGGCGGAAAGCCGCTCGGCCGCGTGACGATCGGGCTATTCGGCAAGACAGTGCCCAAGACCGTGCAAAACTTTGTTGAATTGGCGCAGGTTTTTGTTTTTCCTTTGTTTTTATTTATGTTTTTAGAAGCCGAAGGGCGAGGGATACGTGGGCAGCAAATTCCACCGTGTCATCGCCGACTTTATGATCCAGGGCGGAGATTTCACGCGGGGTGACGGCACAGGCGGACGGTAGTTGGGTTACATTATATTTATTTTGCGTTTAGATCCATCTACGGAGAAAAGTTTGCCGATGAGAACTTCAAGCTGAAGCACTATGGCGCCGGATGGTTGAGCATGGCCAACGCTGGTAGCGCATTTTCGGCTGTAACATAAATCTTCGTTTGGGCCCTGACACGAACGGCTCGCAATTCTTCATCACCGTCAAGAAGACTCCGTGGTTGGACGGACGCCACGTTGTTTTCGGCAAGGTCCTCGAAGGCATGGACGTCATTAGGAAGGTGATGATTATCGATTTTTGATATACGAACGATTTGGTAATGGATTGTTAGCAAAGAAAATCCAAATTTTTCCCAGTATCCCCTGTACGGCGGACACATGTAATTAGGGCATTTTTGTAGCATTTTAAGCAGTTTTCAGATATTAAAAAATTATAACAATTATCGATGTTGGACTTTTTGGTCAAAAATGTACGTTTTTATAACTTTCTAGCAATCAAAACTCCTAAAAACACAGGAAAATACATTAATAGATCATCGGGGAAAAACAATCGAAAGTAGCTTCGCCTTGCTAGCCCCCCCCCCCCTCCCCGCTAATAGTCAAGTACCGCTTTTTTTGACCACGTCTTTTAGGTGGAGCAGACGCCCAAGGCTGCTGGCGACAAGCCGAAGGAAGATGTGGTGATTGTGGCGGCGGGACATGAGGTATCATAAGTTGTTTTCTATTTGTAAGAACCTCCTTTTAGGCGATCGCTCAACCGTTCTCCGTCGAGAAGACTGACGCCTAGGTATTCATAAACATCTATGTGCAATTTAGCCGCCTTGTATTTGTGATATTTTTGGGGTGCCGGCGGGCAGATAAAGTTTTTTATCTGATATTTATATGGTCACTGGCGCGTAAACCCGTTTATGTTGGAATGGCAAGAGAGGTGAGCGTTTAGATAGCGTCACCTATCCGAACGCGAGCAATTTCGCCGGAGCAGGATGTGTTCGGAGCCGCGGATAGGCAGCGCGTGTCGTTTGTAGTAATCCATGGCTGCGGATAGTGAACTGAGCAGGAGATGGATTCCGGAAACGAACAAATACTCACGGAAAGCTGGGACCCTCGCCGATGATCCATTTGCCATCACGCCGCTCGAGTTTTATATGTAGCACGGCGGATTTTCCTAAAGACGCGTTGCAAGCGCATTTTTTTGGTGCACCTTTCAGGCTGAGGGCTGCTGAGCCGGCTTTTCGGTACCGCAAAATGTAATCACCGGTGGTGTGTGGGTCCAAGCGCTTCTCGGCTTCTATCCGGTCTAAAATTAGGACAGGCTTGACGCTTATATTTGGCTTTCTTCATTTACTTTTTTTTTTAACGATTTTTCGCATTATCGTGGAGGGTAACGTAGTAACTTAATAGGAAATATGTTCTTCGTGTTTTTAGTAAAATACCAGGATTGAAAAACCGCTTCGCGGCTTTTCAACTATGGCCCAGTCTAGTCCCTCATGATACACTTCGCTTTGCATGTCTCTCCCCAATCTCCACACAAAAAATGAAAATGTTTGGCTTCTGACCCTTTATATAGGCTCTTTCCACTTCCGGCGCATGCAAATTGCCTCCTACCACAGTGGTTCTTCGATATTTTTACAAAAACTTAGTTTTAATCGCGCAAACTGCTTATTTTCCTAGATTTTGTATGTGTGCACTCATCTCGGGATCATTACGCACATAATGATGTACAGTAGCGTGCAAAAAGAAGGCAACACCCAGGAAGCTCTTGTAACTCGGCTGCCTCGTTATATTTTGCACCAAACGGAATGTTTCCTAGTGTTTTCGATGCTGTAGAATTCGATGAGCAGGGTCCCAAGCCGCGAAAATGACGTTCAGTAGCTTAAATATGAAATTTAAAATGGCTCCAAAAATCGACTTTTTCTAAAGGCATTTTTCCGTTTCAAAAACATCACCATCGTGTTCAGCATGGTCGGTTTACCCAAAGTCAATGTTTCTGGTTGCTTAGGACGTCTTCAGTCGGCTAGGAAGCTGCGATTAATCGGGGTCGCCATCGGTCTGATGGGGGCGCCTGCAATACCTTTCCCCCAGGCGAACCCACTTCTTGACCCGTTTCGCGCCAAGAAAACGCGGCTTCCCGGCTAAGCCAAGTCAAAACCGATCACAAACGACACTGACTTTGGGTAAACCGACCATGCTGAACACGATGGTGATGTTTTTGAAACGGAAAAATGCCTTTAGAAAAAGTCGATTTTTGGAGCCATTTTAAATTTCATATTTAAGCTACTGAACGTCATTTTCGCGGCTTGGGACCCTGCTCATCGAATTCTACAGCATCGAAAACACTAGGAAACATTCCGTTTGGTGCAAAATATAACGAGGCAGCCGAGTTACAAGAGCTTCCTGGGTGTTGCCTTCTTTTTGCACGCTACTGTATCATCCTACTATATATAAAAAAATAGTGTCTGTGTGTGTGTATGTGTGTGTGTGTGTGAGTGTATCCGTGCCACTTTGCATGCAACTTCCGTCAGCGTGTTCCAGTAGTATCTCAATTAGGGGGTTAGCTAGGGGCATGTATCATACCTCATTAGGTGCGTAATGGCCTTGGGATGACTGCACACTAACAACATTTTCAAAAATTTGCTGTTTTCGACGTTAAAATTAAGTTATTGTTGAAAAATCTGACACCCTCTTTGTTAGGAAACAATTAGCATACGCCGGAAGTCACGGTAGCCTATATAAGGGAAGAGAGGCAGCGTTTCTCATTTTTTGCCATCGAAAATCGCGAGAATATGCAAAGTGAAGAATATCATGGGATCAGACGGGGCCAGGGTTGAAATGTCGCGAAGCGGCTTTTCAACCCTGGTAATCCCTTAAAAACCTTCTCCTAAGGCTGTAGGTGTGGTACATACTCACGGAAGTTGCATGCAAATATACAGGGTGTCCCAAAAAAAACGACCCATCTGGCATTTTGCCGTGTTATATCCAATCGGTCCGAAAATTGGAGCAGAGGTGTGTTAGGCCCTAAATAACAACAATCCTGACTTATAGCCCCACAGCTATAGTAGTTCGCGAGTTATAGCAAAAACAAAGTTTATTTTCCATTTTTCATAGGGTATTCGTCAAATTAGACCCCTTAAACATTAAGTGAAAATGATCCGGTAGGCCTTCTTTACCTTAAGAAATTTTTTCCGGGCTAAAATTAATCAAATAAGCGTCGATATAAGCTATTTTTACAACTCAAAATTACCCAAGTTCTTAAGCGACATTAGGGATTCGCCGCCGGAAGTCGATGCAAATCGATGCAAAGTCCAAAAAGATAGCCGAAAAAAACTGTTTAGAATTGCGTGAAAACAGTATTTTGGCGATAACTTGACCACTTCTGTAGCTGGAGGGCTATAAATCAGGATTGTTGTTATTTAGGGTCTGATACACCTCTCGTCCATATTTGTGGCCGATTGGACGTAACACGGCGAAATGCCAGATGGGTCGTTTTTTTTGGGACACCCTGTATACACACACAGACACTTTTTTTATAAAAGTAGGATTTCTATATTCAACTACGAAAACTCTAAAATATCTAAAAGTTCAAAATGTCGAAATTTTGGCCAAAAGACGGCCATTTTTAGTAGTTTTTACATGCAAAATTTGTAAGATTTTTCGTTTAGGAATAGCTAAGAAGTTTAGAAAAACGTATGCTTAGGCTTAGGCTTAGGCTTAGGCTTAGGCTTAGGCTTAGGAGGAAAGCCCCTCCCCCATTAATGCAAAAGAGACTATTTACGTACCAATTCCGCGCTCCAGCAGATCGTCTTCTTCGCTCCGGAAGTCGATGGTGACACGGTCTTTTTCGACTCGCATGCTAAAATCGGATAAATAAGTAACTATATAAATACACGGGGCAAATAACGCGGGAAAGGCTTTGAAAAGCCCGTGCCTATTTTTGTAGATTTCTTTCCTAACCTGATCCGTTTGTCGGTGTTGCCATGCTGGGGCTCTGGGGATTGGCTTGAGGGGCCGACAATGTTTGGAGAAGCTCTTCTCGTATAGCTCGTTGACATTCGACCTTTTGTCGTTTTATGCGGTGACACCGGTGAGCTGCTAGATACCCGTACGGCCTGGAAGGAGCTTTTCGAAAGTTGTTACTTGACTGTTCGCGGGGGGTTCAGCTGGGGAAACTAATTTTCCCCGTTATTCCGTACTACGGCCCTATAAAAAAATATCCATTATTTTTATAGCATGCTATGTAGTTTTAAGATATAAAGTTACAAAATTTAAACATTTTCGAAGTTACAAATTTCAGGATCGAAATTTGGTACTGGCCTTTAGCGGGGGGAAGCAAATTTTTCCCACTAGGCCCTATTACAAAACATAAACCATTTTTTGCATTTTACACACTTTTAAATATCAAAAACCTAAAAATTATAAAACTTTTCGAGCATATGGGACTTTTTGGGCAAAAATGCCTAAAAAGCAGACATGGCAACGGGCCCGGCCCCCGGGCTTTTTCGGCCCCAAAAATTTGCATGCGGCCGGGCCGACGGGGCTCGGCCCCACTTCCGGCGGGGCCGGGGCTCGGCTTTGCTCGCCGGCCCCGGGTTAAGCCAAAATGGGGGGCCGAGCCCGGGACCGCAAGGCCGCACGCTAATCAGAAATGCCGGTTGTAAAGCATTTTCAGTCAAAATATTCATGCAAATTGGAAAAAAATGTTTTTTCAAAGGTTGCCATACATCTCCATATCTACTGCAGCCAGATCATAACGGGTTCAGACCTGTATTTTAGTAGTTTTCGATAGTTGGGACGAATTATTAAACAAGTTCAATGAATTTTACCGATACCGATGTCCTAACTGTACCAACGCACATAAAATTTTCATTGCAAATTTGCATATTAACATCCGAATTTAGACGCAAATGAGCTATTTTAGTTTCCGGGGCCGAGCCGAATCGGCCGAGCCCGGCCCCGGAAAAATTCGGCCGGGCCCGGGCTCGGCCCCGCGAATTTGCATATTTTTCCGGGGCCCGGAAGTGAGTGTCTTTTTTCATGTTAACCAGGGTTGAAAAGCCGCTACGCGACTTTTCAACCCTGGCCCCGTTTGAGCCCACGATATTCTTCACTTTGCATAACTCGCCCGGGCTGCGATGAAAAATGATGGAAAACGCTCCATCTGCCCCTTTATATAGACCCCCACCACTTCCGATGTATGCAAATTATCCTAACAAAGAGCGTGCCCGAAAATTTCACTAAAATCTAAATTTAATGTCGGAAATAGCATAATTTGCAAAATCTGACATGCGTGCAGTCATCCCAGAGCCATTACGTTCCTAATGACGTATCATACGCCCCTTAAAACCCCTCCCCCTCTTGAGATATCCTCCGGACCAGGGTTCGATTAGCATGGGAAAAAATTTGGTCGGCCGCCCGGAGGTGGTCAACCAGCCTGGAGGTGGTCAAAAAAGCCTAAAAAAATTTCGCGGCCGCTACGCGGCCAGTAATCGACTCTGCTGTACGAATTCATTGAAGAAGGCAATGAGTCAGGGATCCCGGGTTCGAACCCCCGCCGCAACCTTTTTTTGCTTTTTGGAAACTATAGAACGGAATTACGGGAGAATCCCTCGGGAAGCCATCTGGAAGGCTTAAAATGCAAAATGGATCCGTGGGGAAAGTAGAAACTGGCGAGTCAAGGGTCCCTGGTTCGAATCCCCGCCGCGACGAACTTTTTGCTTTTTGAAAAATATCGATCGGAACCGCTAGAGAATGGATCAGGAAGACCTCTGTAAAGTTTAAAAATGCAGA